GCTTCCTTCCTTCTTCGGTTTAAATTCCAAAATTATGTTTTGCCACTATCTACCACTATATACCGGCGTAAATTTAATTTAATTTTGCATCTTCCATTCGGGAATGTACTTTGCTAATGACCCGGCGGAAGGACCGTTTAAAAATGCACCGGTTGCGACGGTTTCTAGTTTTGCGCGAGATTAATTAACAAATTTTCTGCGAAATTTCGCTTTATGTTTCCCGGAAACGGGCAAGAATGAAAGACGACTCTAATTGATGCCGAAATTGCGATTCGGATTATTACAAATGTACGCTCATTTCATACCACATATTTATGAAAGCATATAAATATGACATCAAAAATTACGGTATATGTATACAACAAGTCTATTAAATTTTCGTATAGAGGTTCGAATTTTTATTGGATGTGGGTACACAAGACATAATATGAATGTATGACGAATTGTAACAATGAGGCTTAAATCTGAATGAATGGCTTCATTTCAATTTAACACTCTTAACTTAGGCAAAGAATTAGAACAATCGTTTGAAAAATGTGCTTAGTCGAATAAATTCTTAGCTTTGATCAAAATTCAATAAGATAAACAACAAGTCGGTGTCCTTTTAAGCTTAAACTAATTTAAAAAATAATTCAGAAACTTTATCCAGAAACACATGTAAAAGATATGCTTCCATCAATTAACTACAAATAAAGATGTTAATTGAAAAGTGTCGTTAAGATTCGATATCCCATCACTATGAATCACTTAACATAAAAAACTAATAAAATACATCGTACCTGCGGCCTAATTAGTTTAATTTAACGATAAACGTTTTAAAAAGCTAATTTATACAAAGCGATTGTATCAGTAGAGCACCGGGAGTACCACCTACCAATTATTTGATAGAAACTTTTTTAAGGTAATAAATATTAAAAAATAACAATCTTAATTCGTATAAGAAAATTTGTTAATTTGAATTTGTATTTCGAAATTCTTCTGATAGTGTACCTATAGAAATAAGAATTAACTTAAGAATTAATGTTTATTATTAGAGGGAATTAGAAGACTATTTTTTAAATCAAAAATGTGGAATGGGAAAGTGAAATTCTTAAGCTTTTAAGTTGAAAATAAATCCAGGTAGGCATAGCTAGGCGCAAAAAACTGAAGAAATAACCTCATTACCTAATCTCCGCAATGCATAGTGTAATTACCCGCTTCAATTCCAAGAATTTTCGAATAAACCTCTTTTTATGCGGAATGCCACCAACGAAATAACTATTTTATGTAGTGGTGTATGTACGTTTTGTGTCACGTAATTACGTGGACCGATTTTTATCAAGCGACCGGCACGCAACTCTGTTCTTATTCGAGCGAAATTCGGAGAAAAGCATTCGAAGAAATGTGGCGCTGCATATTTTCTAATTTTCGTGTTCAACTCAACATTTTTATTTCTTCGACGTCGCCGTCGTCTGGACTCGATTTGCTTTTTGTTCAGCGTCGTTTGGGCCAGTGTGATATTTATCGTATCGAATCGAAAGGCATATAATATAATGTATAGTCGGTTTATCGCAGTTTTGTATTTTTTCTTCAACTCGCTAAGGTAATAAAACAAATCGAATATGAAATTTATTTCCCTCTTCTTAAATATTTTTTATACACTGAAAAAATTTTGGTACATAATATCAATGAACACCATGTTTTCAACTTGTTTTCATTAGCTCAATAAAATAATACATTAATCCAATAAATTTTCATTCATTAGTTAATGATTTCATTTATTAACTCAATGTTTCTTGTAACATTAATTATTAATGTAAAATTTCATTAACTCAATAACAATTTTTATTAATTCAATGAAATTTAATCATTAATACAATAACCTAGTACATTAAAAGCGAATATTTCAGTTAATGTATTCGATACATTAAATCGAAGTAACTTGTACATTAATACAACGAATTGTTCATTCTTTTAATGAAATTTAATTATTGAACCAAAAACATTAATACATTAGTTCGATAAACCACATTCGTCATTTTTTATGTTGCCCGTACATTGATTCAACAAATTTAATACATAAATTCTATGTTCGAGTTCATTAAGACAATGAATGCATATACATTGGTTCGATAAACCACATTCGCAATTTTTTATGTAGCCCGTACATTGATTCAACAAACTGGATACGTAAATTCTTGTCTCGAGTTCATTGAGTTAATGAACGCTTTTCATTAAGTCAATGAATATCAGTTTGGATTTTGGCAATACACACTAGAGTGCAAATCTATGCCGTTCTATTCTATTAGAAAAAAAGAAATAGATAGAGACGCTTTCGAAAATCGCGTTGACCGTTAATTACCCCTCTTTCTCTCCTGTTATTTCGTGTTGAAGCGTTGAACTGGAAGTGTTCTGTTTAGTTAATTTCGTTTTCGTTTTGTATTATAAGAAGGAAGAAAATTCAAGCGCTGTTGTTTTAAGAGGTAAGCATTTTTTAATTCGGTACACTATAGGTTAATACTTATACATTTTATTTCTAGGATTTAATTTTAAACACAAACGTAAAGCCTAAGGAAGATATAAGTGCAACAACTTCAAGATTCATACAAAATGTGTGTAAGTTTTTATGGTTTTTACTACAACTCATTAAATTATTGGATACATTAAATTTTTAGGCCCCAAAGACATTTGTGAAACGTGCATAAGACTTCTGAAGTTTGAAAATTTATCATCGGAAGAGTTCGACGTATGCAGCATGTATTGGAACTTCGCTTGAGTGACATAAAAAACGCACAAAATTCAGATGATAAAATGAACTTATTACAAACGACCATCTGGATATAGCTTGGTGAGTACCTTCAATAGTATACCTACCTATACACCGTGCTTCATTCGCGATTGCAACATGAGCATTTCTATGAGTTGAACAAAGAAATATCAGTAAAATAACAGTTGTCAGAGTGAAAAGTTGCAATGACATAATATCATACTGTTTCTTTTTCCTTTACAAGTGTCTAATTGAAGTTATCTTTGTTGCACCCATAGCCTATGTTGCAATGAACAATGGAGCAATCTATATACTTACTGGATATGTAGATAGGAATTTACAGTCTACTATATTAACCCATATTTTTTTTAGATCGATATGCATTTCGCCCCAGCGTATGATGCAAAGAATTTTATGGAATAATTCGAAAATAATTCTTCGAAGATTGACCAGTTTCTTCAAGCAATAATACAAAAAATGTAAATTCGTTAATTTAATAAATCAAATTCATTAATTCAATGTACTGCGTTCATTAATTCAAAAGCTAAAATTCATTAATTCAATAAAAGAAATTCATTAAACCAAGATCTAAGTTTCATTGATTCTATGAAAGCATTTCATTGATTCTATGAAAGCATTTCATTGAATCAATGTACTACATTTATTAGAAAAAATCTAAAATTTGTTGAATCAGTGTACACCGTTCATTAAACCAATGTAAAATATTACATTGAATTAATGTACTTCTTTATTGGGTCAGCAACTTTAATTCATCGAAACAATGATTTTCATTTCATCATATCAACGATTTATACATCACTTAATGTACCTCTTCATAGCTTAATGAACAAACGTTCATTGATTTAATGAAATCGTTTATTGGACGACTTTTAATGTAAAAATTTCTTGGATTAATGTATTTTTTCATTATCTGCACGTACTTTTTTGGTTCAGTGTACCCTTGTATTTTGAATGATTTTGTTATTATTAAATATGTACATTTTTCAGTGAAATTTTTTATATCTACTGGTAAACAATCCTAATTACTTGTTGTGTTTTTTAAAACTTTAAAAGATTTCTTATCCAACTAGGTAATTATCCACACTAAAAACATTCCATTCTGTCAAAATATCCTGACAATTAATTCATCCTTATCTTTTATCGGAACAAAACTGGTTGCTTCGGTACATTCCGGATTAATTTAAATGGATTTTTTATCTGGCAAGGGATCTACATACTCGGCAAGACATCACTAAATGTATTATTGAATTGTGATAATGACGCTGTAACGAATGCTTTGTCTAAAATAGGTAGTACAAATTGTATCGATCTTGTAAATCTTCGATTAAAATACCAGGTATGTCTTCTATTGTGGCTGGTGATGTCGTTATGGTTCATTGATAATGCAATATAATTCCTAATGGGTAAAGTTTAGGTATATTTATACGTCTACTTACAAAAATGATTTGGATAACTTCAACGAAATAAATAAATTAATAGTGTCGATATGAATGTACAAATAACAGAAAATCTTCAAATTATTTTTATGAAATTGGCTAAGAATTAAGAAAAGTTAAAATAATCAGTTTAAATGTAATATAATGACTGTGCAAGACTATAATTTCTTGGTCAAATATTAGATATGTGTAATTTCCTTTAGGTGTTTGTAAGAAAAATTCTCTAAGTAACTTCAATCAACTTTTTTTTGTCGCTTCATCATCAGTAACGAAATATAAAAAGCCGAAATATCGAAACTAATTGGCTTGCCATCTATCTGGTCCCTAACAGCATCTTGCTCAAAATGTGTGGGAAAAGTAGTATTTTTTTCAAAACTAATTACCTACTTCGTTACATTAATAATACAAAGGAATCGGAATCCGGTTATTTGGTACTTAAATCAAAATTGAACACTCCCACTGACCATAATGTCAAATAATGTTGTTAATTTTCGCTACCAGCATAATTTCTTCATTAAAAATGTGGTTGGTTTAATTAAGCTTTATCACTATACCCTATCTCTATCGGATCCATCAACTAATTAATAATTGTGAAAAGAAGGTGACTAACACAAGAGCATTTTTACCCGGAAATTTGTCTTTGTCATTCAATTTATGAACGTTCGCATTTCTCCTTATTGATAGGGGTAATTTTGTATACTTAAAATAATTTAGTATACCTCTATATTTTTGGTAATACTCATTTGCATTTATCGACAAACATCTTTAATTATAAACAAGAATATAAAGAAACTCACCTCCTTTTTCAGCGTTGGTAATGGTCACCCAAAAATCGATTGTCTTCTCTGGACCCAACTCTTCATAATCCCACTTCTTCTTCACCCTAACGGAACCATTAGGATCGACAGTCACCCACGGATTCTCATCCCTGATTTTAAACGTTTCCCGGTCGGTTTCCTTCTCCAATTGAAAAACGACACGTCCATCTGTCTCGCCATCGGTTTCCGTAAATTCAATTCTCTTGGTGGGCCTGACAGCGCGCGTGACACGTCTCTTAATCCGGTGCAATTCGACCTCTTCCAGATGCTGGAAGTCCAAGTCTATGTCGACTTTGGGCGATTCGGTGGGCTTAAAATGGAAGATCACTTGAGCGGGTCTAGGGGATGTTCTACTGGGGGTACGTAGATCGTGCGCTTCCACTACTAGCTCTAGTTCTACTTCTTCGATCGGTTCTTGGCTGAGCAGTAAATCGCCGGTTTGCGGCACCATAACTAAGAAGTTGGTAGGAGTTACTAGTTTGTAAGCGACTTTGTCGCCGTCTGAATCTGTGGCTTCAACGCGGCCGATGGAAGAAAAGCGCTTCCAGGCCATGGTGACATTATCGCCGTCCATGCTGTCGTCACCTACCACAAATCTGTAAACTTTTTGGGTGAACACCGGGCTGTTGTCGTTTTCGTCTTCAACGTCTATAACAACGTTAGCTACTGCTTTGTTTATGCCGGTAGGATCGACAGCTTGTATTGTAAGAACGTATCTACTGGTTTCTTCGCGATCTAGAATTTGCGTGGAAACTACGTTTACAGCGGAAGTTGTGGTTATATTCGGTAACACATCGCCAGTAACGCTATCTTGCAATTCGAAAGAACTTTCTATATTTCCCGCTATTATGGTGTAAGTAACAGGAACGTTCAAATCGCTAGTAGCTCGAAGCAAAGGTAGATCAGCCACCCTCGTGCCGGCCGGCGAATTCTCCGATATGTGGCCCAAGATCTCCTCGTCGAGATCGAAGCTCAGCATATTCCGTCTATCGAGAACGTACAACTGAAGTCGGTGTTTCGTACTGATGTTGCCTTTCTCTTCGAGCACCACTAAATCTATGGGATGATTGACTAAAGGGCTGACATCCGAAACGGTCATTATCGAACCGTCTTGGAGCATTGTAAAAAACTGGGAAAAGTCCGAATCGAGGAGCTTTAAATTCTCCGAATTGTTGAATTTTTGAACACTGTAACCGGGATGAGCGTCGTGAGGTATGACCGATACCGTTTTCGCTGTTGCAATCCATATCAACGACGACAGCAACGCCAGGAGATGCACTTTTTGACTCATCTTGGACGTACGACTGGTCTCTTGTTTTACTACATTTGGGTCAATTGTCTGGAATAAAAACAAACAGTTAGTTAATTGTATAATTTTAAACATTTTAATATCTACGAAGAGCAAATAATAGAGACTCGATAAAAATATACTGGTAGTTGGAAACATCCTTATTATTTGTTTTTTTTTATTTACTTAATGGTTATAATGAAACGACTGCCAGATCTCCAACAGAATAACAAAATTAATGATGGAAATGACGATACATAAAAAACCGTAATAGCTATTTATTTGTCAATTAAAGCCACCTTTGAGATATCCTGACAAAGATTCTTAGAAAAAAAATCCGACGCATAAATTACATTGAGCACATAAATCCATCAATAGTATCGCTCAGATGTAGGAATCATTAATAACACGATTCTTGTTTCCAACACTCACCAAAAAAAATATTCTTTTTGGTAGGTATCCTACATTATACTCATTCTAATTTATTAGTACCTCCCATATTTATAACAAGTTTAGTAGCGATTAAGTTGGAAGTTATCAAATAAAATTAAATTTGCCTCATTTACAAAATCAATCTACAGACAACATCGACTTAAGCCAATCATGCGGCGCTTTTTTCCAACTAATCTCCTTAGGTTTCCATTAATTTCCCGCGTCCCTCCAAATCCCTACTGTCGTTAAATAAATCTCTTCTCGAAGGCGCGAACAAGATTCGACAATATATCATCAAATCGTTTTGAAATGCCTGTTATCACCGTCACTAATCGCGTTAAAGTAGTGACTAAAGTGTTAACAAGTGTACGAAACAACGGCGACAGATACAAAAGATAAGCGGCAACTTGGTGAATGCAACAACATAAGATACTTCGACCAATTAGGTGTTACTGCGTAGAGATAAGAGGTGGCAAAGTGATTGGTGGGAACGTTTGAACACAAATAAAAGCAGTTTATCATCAATAAGGACTTCACCAATAGCGAGAAATTTACATAAATGTTCAGTTGACTGCCCGCCGTGTCGCTTGGTATACTTTTAAATCACTTCGGAATTTCCTTTGAACAATACCACTCGAATAAATTATTATAATAAGTTAATATTGGAAGTGATCCCGGTATGGCGTTAATAAATATAAATTATTAGGTAATAGGTGTCCCGGAGGGATAGGTTTTTTTTAAACTTAATAGTTTAATTTTAAAATGCTAAGCGCCCGTGCGGTTAAAATGTTAATAATCACATTTATTACCACACTTTAACGTCGTTAACAGACACTGTTTCATCAAAACGCCTCGGTTACTGAAATGCATTCTAAATGATTTATTTTTGGACGATTCTACCATACGATTCTCATAAAATGTTTTAAATTAAATTCCGTGAAACAACAACCTAATAGCATGCCTGGCAAAAGAAAATGTCTGTTGAAAAACATCATTCGATTCGGATTTGGCTCGAATAATTTAAATTTTCTTGTACAATGTCTCCGAATGATGGCCAAAAAGAAAAGAAAATAAATTATACAGGAATAGATAGATATTTGAAGAATGTCGGTGAATGTGAAAACTTTATAGGTTTCCATATTAAAGTACATATACATAAAATTACACGTGAATTGTTATTTTATGTAAATGGTTATTCTAATAACGTCTATTTAGTAGTAAATTTCTTAATCATAACCATAAAAAGACATGTCACTTCCACTATTTCACAGAAAATATAGTTATATTTTTCAACACTAGCCATTGAGGAAAGGTGCCAAGCATTCATCGATAAAATAATAAACATGCTTAATTCGACTTTGGTATCAATTAAAACACCCACGGAACGTCTTCGGTACCAAAATAATTACTACTTCCAATGCTTTTATGATAAACTTGTTTGGTTTTAATCACGGACTACTGTTCTTCCAATTCATATAGCCCCGTCACGAGATATTGCATTTAATTTAATTTATACGCTTAAAATTATAATAATTATAAAATTATACCTGTCCATGATGATATCGATATAATAAGGTTAACCAGGAAATTCGTCTTCCCCCAACTTATTTACTAAAAATAAAAGCAAAGCTACTAAATATAGCACGAATCTGGATTATACAGGATAGCCTACGAAATTGTGTGTAGCCCAACTAATTAAATTCACCATTTATGACATGAAGGGAGACGAAAATATAAAAATGAAGCGACCCTCTTAAGAGCTTACGTATTTTTGGAATTTTACGCAGATTGAAATTCAATGCGGAAATAAAATCAACAAAATAAGATTCAATATGGTTGGCTTCATTAATTGATAGGTTTACTTTAAAAGCACCTTGTCATCAGGTATGTCAGGGCTTTATACCTACATAAAATTCATTCCATTCATCGGACCCGACACTCGGTCCCACTCCGGGCTTTATTCTTTGATTGGCGGAACATTCTTCGATTTATATACCTGATAGGTGTACAACAATATCGGTCCAAAACGACAAAGGAATCGGTGAATTTTTTCGTTCGATCCGATTTCCAGATTTAATTCGAAGGTAGGTTGTCAAGAAATTTACAGTTCATCTATGTGTGGTCCGTACCGCTATAAAATCTCATTATTGTTTTCGTAGTTTTCTAATCGTAAATTTGCCCCGTTCGCAGGATAGCGTGGCTATACCGCTAATTAATTCTCCATTAAACGAGATTTGAGGTTTTAACGGCGTGTCTCATTTTCAATTTCCTAATTTACTTCGAAATGAAAGAATTTTGTTAAATAAATTTTTATGTTATTAGCATTGTGGAATGCTATATGGCAAGATATCTAAACTGAGCGTTATATCATAAAAATAACGAATTTACTATTAAATAATTGTATTTCTTAATTTTAAAGTCCAATGTAGATATGTAAATATTTTTTGTTGCATATTTGATGTAGTCATTTAATTTGGTATTTTTTGAATTGCGCTTTTTTGAATTTTATTTTGTCTAATATTATATATTAATTGAAAAATAAATAATTGATGTGAGTACTAACTTATCAGTGTAAGTGAGTATTTTGCAAGTGATTTATTAACATTGTTTAGATTTTTGATAGAAATATTCGAATCGATAAAATTTTGTTTGGCACAGGTCGTTATCATGTTGCGATGCGGTCTAAAATTAAACAGTCTCCCGTTCATAATAAAGCGCTCAAGAGTCGAATTATAAACATTTGGTCGAATTCGCGATGCATGTACCAAAGGAAAAATGTATTGACACCCCTCACATTTGTGTGTTTCTCTAATAAAAGTCGAAGGGGAAGGGCTACGCTTAATATGTATAAAATCAATAATATTACTACACAGCGCTACCTTGCTGCTACAAGCCCGCGATTTTTGACATTCGACCCCGAAGCAGGACAATATCGCTAATTTTCACATCTACAAACACTTTTTCATTCATGACTTTTCTAAAAAAAAATAAACTAAATCAATACATACAAATTTCAGTGAAAGTGAGGGTTGCTGCTAATACGGCTAAATCCAATGAATGAAATTGTTATCAGTCCGATGCACTAATACCGATAGCGAGCCGTCATACGCGCCTAAACGAAGGACCACTCGACAATTTCACTATCAAAAAACCCAACAACACATCCAAAATAGTCCAAGTTTAAAGCACCTCCGCTTAAAAACAAGCCCCGCATCTACCGCATCGATACTAGACACGGTTTGTAGCGCGCATATGGACTTACGAGGACCACGGCGTACGATCGACGACGTTTCGAGCCGAGCGGTTCTAAAAATGGCCGATCCAAAATCCACCCTCGCTCTACTATTACATAATTATCGCTTTGCTTCACCGCGAGGCGCTAGCGATCGCCGGATGATTCAACGCGGATTGATGGACTCTCTTCATCTTGGTGCTAATCATACGGTGCACCTTGCAATCGTCGAGATGCGGTAATTATCTCATGCCGGTAAAAAACGCTGGTTTAACTGATCTCCTTTCATCGATCCTCGGATATGCCCTGTTGTTATTTATATTTTTAGGTTTAACCAACGTTAGATTTGCTTGTTTGGTTCAATAATGGTATTTCTATGACAACGCTTGCTTTCGGGCATTCTCTTTAGTTGCAATTCTCTATTTACAAAACTTTAATAATGGATAATCCGGTTCAGGTAATGGAAACAAATAACATACCGCGAAAAGTACAATTGGAAACGAACAGCACTTGTAACAGCGCAAATTCCACCATAAATTTACCTTAGTAAGTACATTTTATTTGCAGGATTACTAACTAGATGTTAGAATTACACCTAGACAATATTTCAAATAATTCTCCATATCCTAAGACCCCAAATATCCATCCAAAATGTGTATTTTTCTTCGATAAACTCCGTTAAGCAATTTTCAAAAATCAATCTTGTCCATAAAAAAATTTCTTCAACTGCACCTATCATTTAACTTTTTCCCTAACGAATCAAAATTTATTGGACTGCTTTACAGCAATAAAATTTGCCACCGTCGATATTTGAATGCAAAGGTAGCGCAAAAGAATCAATTTCTCAAAGAAATCGAGTTGGAAGAATTGCTTCAAAACAAAGGCTTGGATAGCGTCAGGATTCAAAGAATATTCAGCGATACCGTCATATCCAAACTCAATCCGAAAGATGCTATTACGCTGAGTTCGAGGCAAAAGAGCAAGATTGAGGAAATCCTGAAGGAGCAGAACTTCAAGCAGAATAAATAAGTAGTACTAGTAGAATCTTATGTTATACATGCAATTGATTTTTAAAGATACCTGTAATACCTATTTATAAGTTATTGAGTCAATAATAAAAGTTAAATTTTTCTGATTGAGCCTCAACCAATATGTTTAATATTGTTCATCAAGTCAGTACAAATATGCTAAATGATCAAAACGTTGTCATTGTGAGACTTTGATAGCTATCTGACAGAAAGAAAACATGTTTGCAAATTCTTACCAAAGCGGATTTATTTCAATATTTTATAGCGTCGGTAGTAATCCATTAGCTCTTTGGGATAAACAAGTAAGGAAAAAATGACATTTAATAATTATTCATCCTCTAGGGCTACTGTGGGTATGAAATCTTCTACGCAGATTTATAACATCGATAAAACTTTTGAGAACGTGTTGATAGATGGGGATTCAAGCAGTTTAAGGGATATTGCGTTGACCTATATTAAAGCAGATTTTTCATTGTTTGTCAGGTTAAAAATGGGCATATTAGAAGAATTGTCGATGACGAAGTTAAATCATTGGTTCTAGATATATCCGGTAGCAATGTAGCTACAACTTACATAACATGCCCCATCAAGCCCAGGGCCTCTCTGGGGATTAAACTACCTTTTTTCGTGATGATCATAAAGAACATGAAAAAATATTTCACCTTTGAAATTCAAATTCTTGGTAAGGAATATTCAAATAACTGATTTAAAACAGCTGCATAAATGATTATACAATCCGCATTTGTTATATCTACTGTAGATGACAAAGAAATGCACCGACGATTTCGAGTATCGAACTTCCAATCCAGTACAAAAGTAAAGCCATTTTGTACTACAATGCCAATCGGGTTGAGTTCTGGATGGAATCAAGTGCAATTCAATTTGGCCGATTTTACTAAGAGAGCCTACGGTATAACAAAAATGAACCCATCTAAACTAAAATAACTCATTCAAATTTTTCGAAAACCTTTAGGTTCAACCTACGTGGAAACAATGAGAGTGCAAGTCCACGCAAACGTTCGAATCAGACGTCTGTACTTCACAGATACATTGTACACAGATGAAGAGCTTCCCAATGAATTCAAGCTTTTCGGTCCCATGTCTGCTCAGAAGAAGAAGGAAGCCGAAAAGAAACCATCGAAAGAACAAGGTAGACCTTAAAACAATTTACAGCAAACTTACACTTTTGTATGCAAACATTTCAATTCTTAGTTGTGAAAGAGGAAGCGAAACCACCAGAAGAAGTTCCACCGCCGCCAACCCCAGTCGATACCGCCGTACCCGAGGAGGTTAAGAGCCGCGCTGAAGTCGAAAGCAAAGCAGGCGAAGAAGCGGAAGAGGCTACTGAAGAGCCAATTGAAGGACGACCTTCTGAAGCTGGTGCTCCCAGTGTAGGAGCACCGAGTGAAGGTGCACCGAGTGAAGCGGGAGGTACATGAAAAATAAACAATTTGCAATAATTCCTACTATAAACTTTATAATTCTATTAGACGAGGGTGTTAGTGCAGATGAAGAAGGTGGTGGAGGAGGCATGGAAGAAGGCGCCGAGCTCATTTCAGAAGGACCTGCAGAGGATGAAATGCCGGCACCCGAACCAACATCCGAAAGTAATCTATTTGTTAATTCCAAATAACGGTAGGTAAATGAGTAATAATATTTTAACAGCTGAAGGAGGAGTAACTGAAGAAGGCGGCGAAGCCACGGAGCCAACAGAGGAGCAAGCGGAAGGTGCGCCAACGCCCACGGAAGGTGGTGAAGAGGCCCTAACGGATACCGAAGCAGAAGAAGAGGGCGCGGAAGCGCCACCGCCGGAATAAGCACATTTACATTTTGAGATTGAGAAAATTTCAGCTTCTAAAGACGCAATCGGATTTTTTTATTATTACTGTATGGCCTGCGAGAAAAGTGAATTTACGTAGTTTTACTCATTATACATATACCTACATTTTATAATCTGAATAAAAATAATATAACATATAATTTATTAACACCAACTTCTTTTTAGATTTTTTTTGTAATTTTTATTTCAAAATTATCTTCCATCTTATGTGGTAATTTACCTGCATTTATAATTCTTCATTCATTTCCTTTATATCTACTACACTAAACCACAATTTATCATGTCTCATTTCTTTGGAAAATAATAAAATAAGAACTATAAAATTAAAGGAAAAGTTGCCATTTTTTTTAAGTTTTTCACAAATTTTAAATACAAAATTAGCTACTTGCCACATAAAACACAGTCAAATTGAAAATAGAAGATTGGCTATATTCCTGACGCACAAAAGTCAACGTCGAAATATCCCAGATTGACATTTGACATTACTAAGATAGGTTATGTTATGTTTATGAGCGCAAACGACTGTAAACGTTTTTAATTTTGTTATAAACTGTAATTATAACAATGACTGAAGATGTGCAGAGACATTCAGTCCACACGTTGGTATTCAGATCTTTAAAAAGATCACATGATATGTTTTTATCGAACCAAGGAATATTGCCACCGGTAGACGACACTGCGTAAGTTTAACTATTCACTCTTTTATACTTTATAACTAACAGTTGCCTTTAGGGAGAAGATTAGAAGACTTGTAAAAGCCAGAGATTCGTATGGAATGGTATTTGACGATGTTAAGAAAATGCTAGCCATGAAGCATCTCAGAGAAGCCGAAGCGGGACCAAATCCTCCTCCAGATGGTGCTGCTCCATCTGATGCAGCGCCTTCGAGTGAAACGGCTGTGGTTCCATTTGCGGATAATAGTTTAGTTACTCGTAATCAGCCAAACAGCAATGCCTCGCAATTGGCTAACATAATGAAGAAAATACCTACCATGCCTAAACCCAAGTGGCATCCGCCGTGGAAATTATATAGAGTTATAGCCGGTCACTTAGGGTGGGTGAGATGCGTTGCTGTTGAACCCGGGAACGAGGTAAAAATGAATATTTATGCAAGGTTACCACTGCTTTAAATAAATATTTTGTTTTAGTGGTTTGCTACAGGAGCTGCCGATAGGATAATAAAAATATGGGATTTGGCTACTGGGCAATTGAAAGTTTCGCTCACTGGGCACGTTAGTACAGTTAGGGGTTTGGCTGTAAGCCCTCGGCATCCATATTTATTCAGTTGCGGGGAAGACAGACAAGTGAAATGCTGGGATCTTGAATACAATAAGGTCATTACTCTACTGCAATAATTGTACATAAAATTAAAAAAATATTATTTGTAGGTCGTTCGACATTACCATGGTCATTTATCAGCCGTGTATTCGTTGTCCCTTCATCCAACAATTGATGTTCTGTTTACTGCTGGTCGAGATTCAACAGCTCGTGTTTGGGATATGAGAACAAAAGCTAATATCCATACATTAACTGGTCATACACATACTGTGTCAACTGTTATTTCACAAGCTTCAGAACCTCAGGTAAAAAATTTTGTACATATTGATAAAAGTTTGGTACAAAAAGAATTTTTAGGTCATTACTGGTTCTCATGATTCGACAATAAGGTTATGGGATTTAGCAGCCGGAAAATCCATCTGTACTCTAACAAATCACAAAAAGAGTGTAAGGGACATTGTCTTCCATCCAACATTGTAAGTTTTTTTTATTTATACTAAAATATATCAGCTTGTCTTAATCAACTTGACTATTTTAGGAATATGTTTGCGTCTGGTTCACCAGACAACATTAAACAATGGAAATGCCCCGATGGAAAATTCATCCAAAACCTTTCTGGTCACAACGCTATTATAAACTGTTTGGCAGTTAATCCGGAAGGTGTTTTAGTTTCCGGAGGAGACAATGGTACACTTCATTTTTGGGACTGGAGAACGGGATACAACTTTCAACGTTTGCAAGCACCTGTCCAGCCTGGCTCTATGGACAACGAAGCCGTTATTTTCTCAATGACGTTCGATAATTCTGGATCTAGATTGATTACAACTGAAGCCGATAAGACTATTAAAATTTACAAAGAAGATGACACTGCTACTGAAGAAAGTCATCCCATTAACTGGAAACCTGACATTCTCAAGAGAAGAAAGTTTTAATTGAATAACAAAACTGTTCAATTGTAAATTTAAGATTGAAGTAATTTTTTAATATAATATCTACATATAAAACTTACTATTTTGAATAAGAAATAAGTTACTTGATATGGTAAAAGATTTTAAGGTAATCAGTTATTCATACAACCTAGAAAAAAACCGAATTTACTATCAACTCTTAATCTTAAACTTTCTACAGCAAAATTTAAAAAAAATCACTTGGCCTTTTGCTTAGATCTGATGCTCCTCTTGCTGTTCTGAATGAGCAAACCTGTATATTGAAATCCCAAAATTAAGACCACTTGGATCAAGTTGAAAATTATTCGTTGAGGCCAGTCCAACACTTTGTAAACGGGATATAGCCAGATGCCGTCCTTAAAGTAGATCGAAAAGTACCTAAAATTAAATAAATAACACATTACATGTTTAGAGACACAATAAATATAAAAAAGGGCACTCACAAGCTTTGGTACACCAAACAAAATATTAAGAGCGCGGCAGCGGCTGGCTTGAATTTGATAAAGTGGTCCTTCTTCGGTAATAAAGTCTCTAACAAAAGGGGCACTCCGATGAAGGAATGCAGCACGTGGTTCATCCACGATGGGAAAAATTCATCTATCTCCTTGGGAAATATCAGTTCCCTATCGACGTACCAAATCCCCCAAAATGTTAATATTACAGTTAAGGTGCAGGGGAAAAGAAGAGCGTTGAAAAGGAAGGCTCTCGTTTTACCCAACAGATTTTTAATGCCCGATGGAATGCCTATTAATTTACTGATTTCGTCTAATGAAGCTAGGCAAACAAACAAAATTTGAAGCACCTAGAAAGAAAAGAAAATAACATTAGCTTGACGTATTTCCAAGGTATTTGTTATTTTGAATGTGTCGGTATTTTAATTAGGTATTTTCGAGTAATTTGCTATAATTAGCGATGTTCGTTATATTGGCAAATTACTTTATCTTATCTCAAAACCTTTACCTATACATAGATATTCAATTTTAGTAGAGCTCAAACTATGAAATGTGAATATTTGAATTTTTTGAGGATAATAAAATGCATTAACAGTTTATTATTTATTTATTAATGAATTTTATTAATAAAAAAATAAAACCTTTTTATTGCATATAACTGAACAAAATTGGTTTATAAAATTTTTGCTAAAAAAATCACAAGAACTGAACTTAATAATTTTAATCTATTTAGGACTAAATTAGCCTTTTAATAGAACAAAATAACATTGCCAAATTTCAACAGAATCAAGTAAATATTTTTAAGAATTTAATAATTTTTTTTATTTAACATCCATTATCTTGAAAACTGTGCATTTCCGGACCCATGTTTATAGAAACTTTTTCATATTTTTTAACAAGGAATCACCCTCTATAATATCTCCGTCTATTTTATGAACAATCTGTATAAACAAAATTTTGAAATAAGTACTTACAAAAGTCCAATTTGTAAAAAAGTATCCTTGATATTTTCCTAAAATTCTAAAGGTATTGGAGAATTTTGCTACTCTATCAGGGTCACTTCTTAATGACCGCTGATTTTCCTCCATTTTACGCACAGAGTAAAAATAAAAAAATACAACTCCGAGGTATAAAAATACCGGAACGAAGTTTTTCACAGTCATTGCGCCGAAACCGAACTTGATACTATTTCACTTAACTTCTAGGTAGTACTGTCAAGTATATTTTACACATAATTGGCCTATATCTAATTAACATATTAACAATACTACAGGTATTGTCAGTATGTATTGTTAGGTGCTTAAAATCAAACTGATAGGTTATCGTAATGAAACAGAAGTGAATAAAAAAACTAGTTTTTGCAGTCTATAAAAATCTTCCATACGCTAGAGGTTGATGTAATTAACCGAAGTGAAACCGCTAGGTGAGTATAAAATTCCATTAGCGTTGCAGATTACAATTATTTTGATTAGAACTTTTGTTAACAATAATAAATATTATTGAATCTTCTACTACTTTACCTATTAATTTTGCGGAACATTATGATTACTTTTATTCCAAATATTACAAATACATTGAAATATTTTCAATTTTTTAACTCATGTGCGCCAATGAATAATAATCGAAAGCTCAACTCGCGGTATCTCCATAGATGTAAAAATTTTATTCAGAATTGAAAAGTGGAACGTCGAACATAAAATTATCTATTTTTATCTAGCATTTCACAAAAGTTTGAACAGTTTAAATTATGTTACAAATTATTTATACAAAATAAACGTATGTATAAAAAAGCAGTATATTAAATGTGAGATTCACTATCGCAACTTCGATTTATCTTTTCGTTTGCAGTTTTGCAATTCAATGCCAATTTTCTGGTAACATAAAGCCAAAATAAATTGACCCAATGTGAACAGACCACGTTGAGGCCAGGTCATGATTTTATACACCGGATACAGCCAAACTTCATGACGGAAGTAGATAGAAAAGTACCTAAAAATTAAAAATTAATTATCTTTATACAGGGTATTAAATATCATTGCCAAACTTCTTCAGAATCAAGTAAATATATTTTAACAACGGCGATATATTAATATATTTTTTAATGTAACATTATATAGGTATCTTGAATACTGGGCATTTTTGGAAACTTTTTTTCATATTTTTTAACCAGGAATCATTCTCTAAAATATCTCCCTCTATTTTATGAACACCCTGTATACCACAACCATTAAAAGACTGAGTGTAATTAATAAAATACATTTTTAACAAGATTTAATTTAAGACACTTGAAATTTTTGATCATAATATTATCTACTCATGCCTTGATCCTCATTTCGTAATGATAATACAAATCCGTTAAAATAGAGTTATACTTACATAGTTGTATAAAGGCCAAAAAGAAATACCAAAATAGGAACAGCTTTTTCAAATTTAACGAAATGATGCTCTTTTGGCAACAACAGTTCGATAATCACAGGTAAAAGGATGAAAGAGTGTAGCATGTGATTCAACCACCAAGGGAAAAATTCGTCCAATACTTTAGGAAAAACTAACTCTCTGTCCATATAAAACAGCGACCAAAATATCGTGGCTACCATTAATGATGAAGGAAATAGAACAACGTTGTACATTTCAGCCCTAATTTTATGCAACAATTGCTGCTTTCTTTTGGAAACATTTAGATGTTTCAACGATTCATCGATAATCGCTACAATCATAAACACCATTTGAAAAATCTGAAATAACAGGTATTATAATAGTTAGAATAATCAGGCGCGTGCATAGGAAAAGCGCTGAAAGTCAAAAATACTAAATTTGAGAAAAACGCGTTTGATGTTCTTTTGCCAGATTAAGATTGCTAAAAAATAAAATTGTAAATGAGAAAATTAGCTGGTTTGGAGTCTCAATTAAGTTATATTCCTTTTCCCATATGAAGATTAGTGTGTTTTGAAACATTTAGTACAGAGGTAACTCATTTTTTACCATTTTCGACTTATACCACTTTTCTCATGCACGCGCCAATCATTGGCAGTAATTATCCGAAAAATCGAAGTGTTTTATCATCAAAATTACTTTCCAATTCAATTTTGTACTTACAAAATTCCAAAGTGTGAAATATCCGAATCTGTGCGTTCCCATTTTATGTATTTCTTGATTATAATTCTTATCTCTACCGCTTTTAACCATATCTTTTGCAAGTTCGATAAAAAACAACAAAGAATACAAGTTAAAAAATAGCACGCAAATATAACTTGCAATTGACAAATACCCAGACATTTTTGCACTAATTTTAATAATAGATTACAACAATATGCATCTGAATAAATTGGAAACGTCTCCGAGTTGAAGTCGGAGATAAAACTGATTTGAAATATTTTTATTGTTTATATTTTAGCAAGATAAGACCGAAAGTTAATGAACTATTTATTTCACTATGATCTGTAGAACTGAAACCGCACGTGTATTTTTAAGTAAATTCGATTATAAACATTACGCCATTATAAAATTTCAAATAAATTAGTACATTGGAAATATCAGTTAGTTCATTGAAGTGTCGAATTACTAATCCTTTTAACTCTAATAAATATACTTTGTTTAATCAAAGAGGAAAATAAAACTTTTCTTAGTTTGAGTAAAAACTTCAGATTTTTCATTCAGACAGACTGAAATTCAAGTACTTACGAAAGTCCATAGAGTTAAGAAACACCATTCATATCCATTAAATTGTACCAAATCTTTATACTCCTCCGCCCTTGTTTTTACAAAATTCGCAAGTTCATTAAAAAAAATTAAAGAATATAAATTACAACACAAAGTAACCGAAAATAAAAATAATCCGATGCATTCCATTTTAAACTGATCTACTGAATATAAAAGATAAGTATAAAGATAAGTGTATGGTAGTCAAGACACTTGATGATGAATTATGAACAATGAACTGAAACTTTCTTCAAAAACAATATACTAATCAACAGTTATCAATTTTCTGATATTTATTTCCATTGTGGTCCTTCGAATAAATATTTACAAAAACTTGTATTAAGATTTCTTATTCCTTATAAATTACAAATGTGGATTTTAAAATTAAATGATCTAACAATTAACCCTCCAATAGTCGCTCTGTGAGACCGAATACAAACGTTGTTTACCAAATATTCTAAAAATCAAGCTGGAAAAAATAGCAATAAGTACTGCATTTGGCTTTTTTTAGTCATTTCATTAGTCATTGTTATTTAAACAACCCCCACATGTATTTTTTTAAAGTACTATACATTCCGCTATGTATTTAGGGGCCCACTTAGCAATACATTGAAGTAATATTTTAGTAAATTCCAGAATATAGTAAGAAACAAATACATATCTAATGTAAGCATTTAGATGAAATAATTAAATTTCTGTATAACCCATGCATCAACTAAAAACAAAATAATATGAATTATGAGAATTTTTTCATATTGGATGTTATTATATATTATTGTATATTAAATTCAAATAAATAAGCATCAATCCAAAGGTTGCTTAAATAAGTTAGGTGTGTAAATATGTATAGGAAAATATGTACTGTAAGATATATAAAATATCTTTGATATGTAAGTGATCGAAATGTGGGTTCAAAATCAAGCATACAAAACATTCATGATAACCTCTAGCTCTTAACTTATCAATCATTTTATTTTTCTACCTGAAATGATAAAATTTCCTACATTTTTAATGAATTTCTGATGTTTACCTATGAATTAATATTACTTTAGTAATAGTATTAATAATAAACGTTTTAAAGTAAAAAAGTAATCTGTAACAACCTATCTATTACATATGATATATGATCACTAATTTTAAAATTTATAAATAAATCATCCGCAATTGCAGAAGTGAATCATAATTATTATGTAAAAGTACCTATGTAAATCCATATACTTACCACAATAGTTAATATTTCACTATTATCACAAATAAATCATAAATTAAATAAACTACCGAAGAACAGATAAAACTTTCGGAACATATAAATATTAATGTTGAATCGGAGAAAATATATTCATGTATAAGAAAACTTGTACTTACGAAATTCCAATGAGTTAGGTAGTAGAAATGATATGTTTTCATCCTACGATACATCTCCATATCGGGCCATTTTGCAGTCATTCCATCGTGAGCAAAAACTGTGTAAAAGTTAAATAAACTTAGACCGGCGTATATCGGTAGACTTAATTTTTCAACAACAGCCATCGTAACAAGTTAGTATTGAATAGAAATATGTATCAAATAATCCGGTACTTTCAATTACAATCAATGATATTATAATAATTAAAAAGAACCTTGAAAAATAGAAACATTCACTGGAGTACCTACTGAGCGGTATTAGTCGAGCTTATTAACTAAAAATAAACAATAATAATTGTAAGTTGCAACACAACATGCAGCTTCCAAAGGTTGAAACTTTTGTACTTTTCAATTGCTCTAAATAAATTCAAATTAAAACTGATATCTGTTTTGACTTCTGATTTTAGTGTTATAGGTTAGAGAGGTTAAGTAATTTCTTTACAAAAATTTGAGCCACTTTCATCTTTCTCTTAATGTTACATAGTCGGACTAATATATTTTTTAATAAGTGTGTCTTTAAATAAAGTAAACTTAGGTTTAAAGTTGAAAATACCGTCAATATAAAAACTTAAAATATTAGAAACAACTAAATCTTAGTTGTTTTTTTCAACATTTTTGTAAACACAAGGAAAGAATATTTTAGTTAAATATATCGTATCTATGCCCTCTGGCCTATTTTTAACTCCTCCTATGAGTTAAATGTCACATCTCGTCTGTCAGTAAAGTCAAAGAATTATTCAAACTGTCAATGTCACAAACAAGAACTACTTCACTACTTTATTGTTGCATTGATTTACTTTGATTTAGGTAATTTTTATGTATTAAATTATTTCAGCAGCGTTTTTAAATTATTTTAAAATATGAGCGGCGTTTTCATACGAGAATTAGACATTGAGCTTATCAACGATGAAGCAAAAACATTGGAATTGCACCAAAAAATTGAAGGGGACGTCAGCTGTGTCGTATGGGATGCCTCCATAACGTTGGCCAAGTATTTAGAAAATTTAAATAAAAAACGCCCGGGGTGTCTTCAAAACATGAACGTAGTTGAACTGGGAGCCGGTGTGGGTTGTGTAGGGATCACAGCAGCATGCTTAGGGTACGATAATATGAAAAAATAATCATTGAATTAAATCTACATTGATTACAGGAACTAATTTGAAAATTTTTAAATACCTAGATGTATTTTAGAGCCAATGTTTTGGTAACAGATTTGGATAGAGCTCTACCACTTTTAATTTTAAATACAGAAGTCAATAAAGCCCAGTGGAAAGATTATGGAGCTATCGAGGTTAAATCATTGAACTGGGGTGAAGACTTAGAAATGAAGGATTTACCAAATTTGATTCTATTAGCTGATTGCATTTATTACAACGAGGTAATAATATTTGTAAATTTTGTCGTTAAATATATCTTAAAATTCGTACAGGCAACAAATGGTGTAATGGTAAATAGTACTACTGAGTATAATTTTCTTTTGTCCCTAGGTTTTACAAGTAAAATAGTATGAATCGAAGTTACTTAATTTACCCACAATATTTTAATAATACAAAAGTGATAATACTTACTAATGATGTTCCAGAATTAGTAAATAAAGAGGCAAGTGGTTGATCATTAGTTACAATACAGACATAACACTTGGAACTATTTCCACCATCCTTTATTCATATCATGATTATTTTATTAATAATATAATTCATTTCCCTACAATGTATAATATAAAGTACATATTTGATCCAAGCGACCATTTATATGAAATAATTGAAATAGTATTGTTTTACTGTGATCATCAACTTTTTCAATAATTTTTATGTTTTCAGTCAATAAATCCGTTAATCAAGACCCTAAAAGAGCTATCGAATGCGGATACAGAAATTATTGTTTGTCAAGAAATGAGAGACACTGAAAAGCAATTAGAATGTTGGAAGAACTTTACAAAAATCGCTAAGGAACATTTCGAATTTTCCTTTATACCAATTGAAGAACATCATCCTATATATTGTAGTAGTGATGTTGTATTGTTAAGACTCAAAAAATTGTAATTTTTCCTTAAAAACATAAAAAGAAATAATTTTGGAGATGTTATGGCGGTTGCAATAAAATGTAATACATTTATAAACAATTTTAATAATAATAATACCTTTTTAACAAAATGTTTCTAGTATTGATTTAAAATTATAGTCTTTAATAATTTTAATTAATATAAGTAGGTACTTGACAAAGGACAATAATGTGGAAAACAACGTATCAAAGAATGGAAAAAAATTAACATGTTTACGTATAAGACAATATTATTTATGATAAGTTATTTCAGTTATATTTTTCTCCATGCAGAACATTCATTTTTTACTGTGAAATACATTAAATCTTAAATTGAAATCATTACATTTCCATTGTATTTTTCAAACACACTATCAACATTTTTAATAGAAAAATTTATAGAATGAAGTATTACCTGTTTTACAAAACAAATTTAGCTAAAAAATTCAATTGTCAGTAGTAGATATAAACACCCATTTTTTTAAAGAAACTCACGAATATGCTAAGTCTTCACAACCAATATATTTTCTTTGTAAATTTTAGTTTACATTTTTACATATGTAATATCAGTACCTGCGAAAAGTTCTGAAACATCATTAACATTCATAAACATATGTGATATAAATAGTAATCAGTCATCGAAGTTTCTGACTATATTAACTACATAAGAATATTGCTACTGATCACCTATATTATGTTAATAACTCAATTTTACTCTCTGAAATCATCCATTCCAAATTGACGATCAGTACATTACAACGTTAAGCATACAATTAACATTTATGGAATGATAATAAATTCATGAAAACAAACCTACAATTGATAAACAAATCACAAAGTATACTCGTGACTAAATTGATCCAAAATCGCAATTCTACAAACACCGAAAACCAAAAAATTGTGTGATCCCCAAAACCAACAAAAAAAAAATAATAAAACCCACTTATTAACAGTATTTAAGTAAAATTTAAAGATAAATTATAAATTTAAATAATTGAACTAATTAAAAGCGTTGAGCCAATAACGCCAGCCGCAAATCCAAAACAGATCATGCGTGTCTTCAATGGAGTACAAAGTACCAAGTATTGATTGTGCAGTCTTAACAATGTATAGTGATATTTGCATATAAAACTGTTTAAATTCTCACAATTCGTCGTGCAAGTCTTCGGTAGCATCAGCTGGGGCTTCATAGCAAGCCGACGGTGTAACAAAATCAAACAAATATTCACATTTGTTCGGCTCCGATACACTCAAAATTTTATTTTCACTGCTACAACTAATTCGTACAATCGTAGACCTAGTAGGACCGTTCCAACAAGATTGTCCCTTATCGTAGGTCATCTGTTCGTACTTGTTGCTTTCTGGGCCTGACCATTGGCCCCAAGAACCTAATCGGGTTTCGGCAGCTCCTGATTTCGGCTGCTGAGTAGCTCTATCGAACGGACACAGCCTATATGTATATTCGTGATCATCGTATTCGAAACATTGACCCTCGAGTGGCGCAAATTCTTCTTCATAACCGAAATCTTTTGTGAGATACGATTGAATGTCGTTTATTTCACTTTCGATGTCTCTCACTTGTCTTTCGACATCTTGGAAATCGCGACGAGCTTGATTGGCTTTATCCACGAGTTGTTGTGTTTCAGGATCGTATTCAATTTTTGAGGGTTCCTGTACTGCTTCTGGTTCTTCCACCTGTTCTTGATTAGCAGATTCTTCTTCGTCCTCGTAATCTTCATGTTCTGCAAGAAAAGTAGGATAATAATCGTAAATAATACTAGTTATTTTTCATTTACCTTCATCTTCCTGATTCTGTTCTTCGACGTCTTCACTCTCCTGCATGTCTTCAGCTTCAGTGGCTTCTTCAACGTCCCCTTTTTCTTTTTCTTCTGGCATTTTTAGGTTACTTGCTTCCATTGAAACGAATGGTTTTACAAGTTTCCAGCAATCATTGATAAATGTTTCTACCTGGACTGATTCTTGTAGGTTTAAGAAAAATTTGGCCTCTTCGTCAGAAACTACAAAAAGCGAATTCAATCAATTCTATATAATTGATGCTGGTAAGTCTTATACAAACCTTCGCCATTTCTGTCTCTATCGAAAGTCGATCGGGTCTTCATCTCGGAAACGTCTAGCCAGCCATCCTGGTTTGAATCGTATCGATTAAATGCTTCAATAGCCTCAGCTTTATTCGCAGCAGCTTCTTCTTCCTCTCTCTTTTGCTTGGCTTCATTTTCTAATTTAGTGTAATACTCTAGAGCACTCGCTTCCAATTCCTCTATTTCATTCTTTAATGCTTCTTTTTCAGCTTTCAGTTTCTCGGCTTCTTCCTTATTTTTCTGCAGTTCAGTTAACTTAACTTGTTTCTCCTGTTTCAGTAAAATACCTAAAATAGAAACCTTTAATCTAAAAACCTTTTTTTACAAAAGAAAACCCAAAATAGTATCATAACCATTAATTGTAACAAAATGTTTCAAGTGATCCGATAATTGTTGTTTTTCTTATCAGGAGTAAATATAAAGATATAACCAACCTTGATGATATCAAATCGCATTCAAGATAATTCAATATACAAATTTTCAGATTAAATTAAAATTTTGTAGATACCTTTCTGGCTCAATTCTGCTCTTAACTGCTTGCCCGCTTTAATCAGTTCGGCTCTACGTTGAGCGGCTTCTCTAGCGCTTCTTCCCAATTCGATGCAATTATTATGGCAACTCGTTTCGGAAGCGTATTCATCAGTACCATCGCAACAGTCGCAGATACCGTCGTTTACGCGATTCGAAGGTAGATTTAAGGGCTTGTGTCCGGCGTTCGTACAATGGAAAATGCCGTGGGCACAAGCGGCGGTTCCCGGCTCATCACTAGCATCTAAACAATCACAATAATCGTCATTTACTCTGTTGAACGGTATGGTTTTGCTTCCATCGAAGCAAGTGAAGTCTTTATCTGGCGGATACAAAGCGGCCCTCGAAAGTGATACACCCCTCGGCCTAGGAACTTCTGATGTTAATATTTCACAAAAAAATATAAAGATTATAAAAGAAGTGTTCTTAATAAAATCAACGTTGATTTTCATTTTAACCGGCGACAATAAAACACTGACCAAAGTAAAGCAACACGCATGCTGATTAAACGTCAAAATTTCTTTTGACGTGTCACGTCACGTTCTGTCATATTCCAACATTTTCTTCTTTTTTATATTCTAAATAAAATTAAGAGTTTTAGAATTATATTATTCAATAGTATAATTGAATAAATATTTCTTTGATGATTTTTCAGTAAAATAAAAATATTAAATAAGAATGATTGTAATGTTCAACATAGACAAAATAAAAACATCTTTCTTTCTCTATGATGTTCAATTTACCATTGCTGCATAACCGAGAGAAACAACAACTAAGAAAAGAAGGAGATGTTTAAATTGGAATTAGAAGAAGAAAAGAGCCTTCAAAAACTTTCTATTATTGACGTAAAAGAAAATAAAAATAATAAATTATGAACAAAACCATATTACATTTGTTAAATTAATCACTACTGTTTTCAAAAAACTTTAAATGAACAAGAAACTCCAAATTGTGTTCTTAGCAGGATGAAAATTATCAGCTACATTTACATTCTTGTTCTATGGAACTTTGCTAAAGGTTGGTTGATTCAAAAATTGAATAAATCGTTAACTATTCCAATGAATTTGTTCTAGGTTCTATATATAATAATTTGAAATATTTCGAAACTATACATGCAGATGAACTCGATCATAAAATAGCGAAAAGAGGTATTAAAGACAGTTCACATCCATTTAATCACATTAAGGAAATTAACTTAAAAGCCCATGGCAGAGATTTCAGATTGTTTCTGTCTCCAAAAAGGGACATTTTACATTCTAATTTCAAAGCATATTCAGTTGATGGCGATGGTAAAGAAACTACTGTTCACATAAGTAAGTATTTCAAATAATCCTAGTAATCACTGTATTTCAATCGATATTATAGATAGGGATGATTTTTACCATGGAAGATTGTTTGGTGAAACGGATTCTCACGTCAGTATGCACATGGAAGATGGCGTACTAACAGGAACAATTCATTTACCACATGAAACATATCACGTAGAGCCTTCCTGGCGACACATGCCCGACTTAAATAACAGAACGATGATTGTTTACAAACAGTCCGATGTGAAATTTAGTTGGCAACCTGAAAATAGTCCTAACCATCCGAGAAAAATCTGCGATTTCATTAAAGAAGGCGCAGATTTGGAAGAGGAAGATGACGAAATTGGGGAGGAATTTGATCATCATCAACGCACAAAAAGACAAATCGATCAATATGAATATACTCCTACTAAAACTAGATGTCCTTTACTCCTTGTAGCAGACTATAGGTTCTTCCAAGAAATGGGGGGAAGTAATACAAAAACTACCATCAATTATTTAGTAAATATTTTTAATGCGCATTATTGTTAAAAATTGTTAATAATTTGATTTTGTAGATCAGTTTGATTGATCGTGTACACAAAATATACAATGACACGAGCTGGCAGGACAGACAAGAAGTTGATGGTTTTAAAGGTATGGGATTCGTTATAAAAAAGATTGTAGTTCACAGTGACCCGACAAGGATAAAACAAGGCGAAGCCCATTATAATATGTTTAGAGAGAAATGGGATGTAAGAAATCTACTGGAGGTTTGTATTAAAATGTTTATTAAGTTTGGGAATTTTATGTCAACGTTAAAAATTGTAAATGATTAAAAACGCCATATATTTTTAGAAATATTTTCTTTGTAATTAATTAAGGACGTGTTTTTATTAATATTTTATTTTATTGTGACATTTATTCGTACCGCTGGTTTTGTTAAGTTTTAACTAACACTTACATACCTATTTTGAATTGTTTTCTGTAGGCATTTTCGAGAAATACCCAAAATGGAGAGTTTTGTTTGGCGCATTTATTTACCCATCAGACATTTCAAACTAGCAATTCCGTAGTGCTCGGCTTGGCATATATTGCATCCCCTAGATTGTACACCAGAGGCGGGATTTGTAGCAAGGGTTATTATTTAAATTATTTTATTTTTATTTAGCAAGATTTCCAAATCGGAAATATTTAGTTTAAAAAAATAAAACGGAATTTGGAAATCTTTTTTATTTTTAATTTTTCTTTTATCGTAGCTTTTTATTTCTTGTTTCTGGTGGCGGCCAAAAATTTTATCTGGGTTTATCTATTGGTTAATCACTAATCAGTTATATTTTTTAATACGATAAAAAATAATAGTATCTTAATCATATTCTCTGTAAAAAATGTAACAGATTAGAATGGATTTACTAACATAAAACAATGTATGCTGGTTTCTAACTGCTTACATGAGGCCTGAAAGCTTTTATACAGATTAATTCTTTTTAGTTTGCAATATAGATTATATAGACTATGGGTGCGATAAAGACAACTTCCATTAGATACCTATAAAGGAAAAAGAAAGAGTGATATTGTATCATTGCAACTTTTCACTCTAGCAAAGGTTTTTTTTAATAATCTTTCTTTGTTCAACTCATAGAAATGACCATATTGCAAACTGATATGCACCATAGATTTTTTTTATCTACTTTCTCTTTATTTTGTTTATTTTTTCTTCCGTCTTCAAATATTCAATTGATCATTTCCCAAACCGAATATAATTTCTATTGTATTAACTCGTAGTGCTTTCTAACATGAGTAATTCAGGTTTAATACATAAAGCTTGGTGGTCAGGTTTTCAGCAGGGAATATACTCACAAAGACTTCTGCTTGGCCCATCTGTTTACTGACCTTAAGTTTGAAGGTGGTATTTTGGGTCTGGCTTACGTGGGCTCGCCTAGGCGCAACTCCGTAGGTGGCATTTGCACCCCAGGTATTTATGGGTGCTACTTTGCTGTTGTTGCTTCATTCCTAATACACTCGATGTTTCAGTTTTATAACTATTTTTGTAACTAATATCAGTATATAATACTTAACTGAGACAACTAGTGACTCTTCTTGCAGTGCAGTTGATTTTATTAGAAACATTTAAGAGATAATTTTGGATATAAGCTTCTTATTTTATTCAAATTTAAAATTTATACATAAAATCACCTGTACTCGACTGCTTTTCTAGTATTATCTAACTTTCGTAAAAACTGCAGTGTTATTATGGATGCTTTGTTTAAATTAGAAATAATTTCAGAATATTTTAAAAACGGGTACACTCTGTATCTAAACTCTGGTCTAAGTTCAAGTCGAAATCATTACGGTCAACGAGTCATAACCAGAGAAGCAGATCTAGTGACTGCTCATGAATTCGGGCACAATTGGGGCTCGGAACACGATCCAGACATTCCAGAATGCTCTCCCAGCGCCAGTCAAGGTGGTTCTTACCTTATGTACACGTATAGCGTCAGTGGATATGACGTTAACAATAAGGTTTGCACTTGAATGTACTTAAATACTTGATTATAGTATGTAAATTATTGCAGAGATTCTCGCCATGCAGTTTACGATCTATACGAAAAGTACTCCAAGCCAAATCGGGCAGGTGCTTCTCGGAACCCGAAGAAAGTTTCTGCGGTAATTTAAGAGTAGAAGGCGACGAGGAATGCGACGCAGGTTTACTGGGTACTGAAGATAACGACGCGTGCTGTGACAAGGATTGTAAACTTAGACCTAAAGCGATGTGCAGGTAGAAACTTCTCCAACAAACTCCAGTTCGAATGTTTTACTACTGGTGTTCGTTTCAGTGATAAAAACTCGCCGTGTTGTCAAAATTGCCAATTCATGCGCAACGGGGTTAAATGTAGAGACGCGCAATACGCCACTTGCGAACAGGAATCTCGCTGTACCGGCCAGCAAGCCGATTGTCCAAAGAGCCCTCCCATGACCGATGGTACCGATTGCCAAGAGCGAGGAAAATGCAAAACCGGCAAATGCATTCCTTTCTGTGAAACCCAAGGAATGCAAAGTTGTATGTGCGATGTCAGTAAGTATCAACCAATTGTAACCATCAATATCATAGGATCCTCTTTAATAAGGTCAATGTTCGAACTCCCTTTGTGTCTAGATCTTTGAGATCTAGAAACATTTTCCCCAGGTTTTGTAGAATAGATGATATGATATCTTTCCTCTCATAGTATAGATGATATGAACATACTACAAATGTTTTTTATTTCAGTTGAAAATGCCTGTAAAAGATGTTGCAGATCAAGTATTAATGAAACCTGTTCACCAGTAGATTCAGCCGATATACTAGCTGATGGTACCCCTTGTATACAAGGCTTCTGCAATAATGTAAGTACTCAATCAACTATTAGTATTCACAATAACTGGTAAAATTTAAGGGACATTGCGAGAAAACTGTGCAAGATGTTGTGGAACGTTTTTGGGATATCATCGAAGACATCAACATCAACAAAGTGCTTCTGTTCCTGCGAGATAATATCGTCGGTACTGTAGTGCTTGTAACAGCTCTGTTGTGGATTCCGGCGAGTTGCGTTATTAGTTACTTCGATAGGAAGAAGAGAAGAGAGGAATTGGAGCGGTGGGAATGGAGGCGAAAGACCGATTTCATCCATCCATCCGATAATATTAAAAGGATAATACACTTAAGAACGCCGAGGCAGAGAAATATACATTCGCAACAATCCTCGCAGGTCAGACCTGTGATATCGGATACTTAATTTTTTTAACGTAGACTAAGTTTAATGAACATTTTAACATTTCTCTGAGAATAAAGTTGGATCAATAATTATTCTTAAGGGTAAGAGTACTTTTAGATATGACATATTGCTTAATAAATTTTATAGATGACTTAATTTTGCTATAATTTGTGCCAGATATTAGTTGAACTTTTTTGATACAATTTTTCTTGGAGATTTTTTTGCAACTAATCAATTGTTCAGTTTTGTACATTTGTGTATATTTGTATTATTTTACATTTCTAGTCAAGATGTACTTATTTGTTGAATTATGTGCAGAGGTACGTTGATATTGATGTAATAGAATTCTTGTACATAAATATTGTGTTTACTTGTAAGATCTTGTCAGTATTTGTTTATAAAAGTGATCTCCAACATTCAATGTTTATTTTATTTTTAAAACCCGTTAATTTCAAAGATGCACAAACAATATATTTTTAGATCACATTATTTTTTTAACACAAGGACAAAGAAAATAAAACATTTTAAAGATAAGGTTTAATTTGTTCAAAACTAACAAATGTACGGTTGGAAAAAACGACGGAAAGTTTCTAATTTCACATTGGAATATTCAATTATAAAATGATTTTTATTCAGAGTATCGAATAAAAAGTTCATTATCATACAAAATTAACTTATCACAATTTAATTACCGGATAATTTGTAATAAGAAAAAACAGGAAGTATATTATGATTATCACGACTAGAATAAAAATCAAGTGAAAATAATAAAATTGCACTTGGTTTCTATTTACAACATGGATATGTATGTAAAGCCCATAAAAATTATGGACGTAAAGGAATAGTAGCAATATAAAAAACCGTTATTACAAAAAAACAATAAAATATCTAAGTTTCTCCATGTTTAAGTCTCTTTGAATTCCTTTTGTGCTATAACAAGCAATCGTAACATTTTTCCTTCAACTATTTTGTTTAATTTAACCTCCCCCTAATGTGTTAGAAATTCCCTAATATATTGATGCAGCAAATTGTAGAATGCTTACAAAGGATTCTATTCATCAGCCACGAAAACCCACTAATATCTAACAGAAAAATCCTTTTTAAGCCATAGTATACTTTAAATCAATGAAATATTGCCGTAATAAGAAGCGATGTTTCAACAACTTTAATTTAGCATATAATAACGCCATTTTAAGTAACTAGGTATTTATAATTCATCATGAATAGTATGTTTGTGAACAAAATCATACAAATCCTCAAGGCTTCTACTTCCACTGTACTCCGAGACCTTTTCTCCCTCTTTATACAAATAGAGACTAGGGAACCCTTCTACTTCTTCGTCGTTGCATAACTGTTTATTGACTTCTAGAGTGCAATCAACTTTCAGAATTTTGACAAGGCTGTTTTCGGAGAATTTGCCCCTCAAAACGTCCCATGTTGGAGATAACCTTTTACAATGACCACACCAAGGAGCATAGAATTTTACAAAAGCTATTCCCGACTGGATGTTGTTCTTAAAATCTTCTTCCGTTATTTCACCAGATACAGATTGAGTATCGACTTTAGGTTCTTCTCGCTTATTTGCAGCCTTTTTCGTTCCTATCATTTTAATAACATATTCTTTCAAGTCATCATGATTGCGTTCTCCAGCATACTTATCGACCTAGAAGAAATGGTTTAGGTAAAAACATTTTTAATTAATAAAATATCCAGAAAATACCTTGTCTCCGTTTTCTATCCACAATAATGTTGGGTAACCTTTAACTTCATAATTAGTACAAATGGATCGAAATTGTGTACAGTCAATTTTTGCAATAGTAACATCAGAATCCAATTCTAAAGATTTTGCTAATTGTTCCCATGTTGGTGCTAAGTTCTATAAGGTTCCGGAATTGTAAGTGTTGTAAATTATGTGTAATGCTTAAATGTATACCTGACAATGGCCACACCAAGGTGCATAAAATTTTACAAAATGCTTCCCTTTTGCAACGTGTTTTTCAAAATTATCTTCATTGAGCTCGATTAAGCCACTTACAGCTTTAGGTTCATCTGATTCATCAGGTGCATACTCTCCCTAATAAAAGCAAAAATTGTAATAAATTTCAAGTTAATGATTCTAAATATACCTCTCTAAGTTGTTCATTGATAAATGTTGTAATTGTAGGCAAATCTCTGGTACCCCGGAATCTGATGCCTTCAGATTCGCCCATTTTATAGAATTTTAATGTGGGGTAGCCAGTGATGTCTTGCTCGGAACAAACATCACTATCAGTGGTACAATCTACTTTTGCTATTTTTATGTTATTACTATCATCATCATTCAGCATTTCGGCTAATTGTTCCCATTTTGGGGCAAATTTTTGGCAATGTCCACACCTATTAATAATTGCAAAATTTGAGGTTAAATTGTAAAAAATGAGGTATACATTCGATATTTTTGATGAACCTAACGATATAATACTTACCAAGGTGCGTAAAACATAACAAAATGATGTTTCTTTCCTATTTCCTGCGAGAAAGTTTCCGTAGTGTATTTTACCGAATACGCATCTTCGTGAGCCGAAATTAATGTAAGTAGAGGCAAAATTGAAAAAATTACTTTAATAACTTGATACATTTGAATTTCGTACGTTAACTATCTGAGAAGGAACAAAATTCTGCGATAAATATCAAAGTACTGCAAATTATAAGTAATGAAAATTGAAAATAATCTTATTTCTTGACTTTTCAATGTTTATCAATATGTGACGTTACTGACAGAATGAATTGTCAAAAATCAAAATATTGGCCTTCTACTCGATTGGTAAAATGTCTTCATTTTAAGTCGTGGCCTTTTGTTTACAAGAACATCATACAAAGAAAAATCAAACTGTTTTAAGAGGGACGTTGAGCGCTTAATTCGTTTTTGTTTTTGCATAAGTTACTTTAATTATCTACATATATTATTGTGTGCATACATGTTGTAAATTTAAAGCAAATTTTAAGGCTCTGTTTTAGATGTATCCAAGTTAATAATTTATTTATACTTTTAGTAAAAGAATTACATTTCTACTAATAAAACAGTAGTTTTCATTACTATAGCTTTATTGAAGGTATTAATAGAGTAGGAATTTCATTTTTACCCTCTATCTTTATATTTCCGAACATTTATATTGTCTTTTAGTTGTGATACAAAATATGCGGCACCATATAGATTCAACATGATTTAACAGGAGAGATTGTTAGATAGCAAATACAAATTTATGTACAAGGATAAGAGATAGTTCAAGATATGTAATATAACAAGAAATATGTACCTATATGCCGCTTATTATAGGTTTTTCCATACGAAGAACTAAACGAATATGTCAGAAAGTCGACCTATTTATAGTATATTTTAAAAGGGTTGGTGTTAGAACAAATCAGTTTGTATTTTGTATAGTACATACGTGCCTTTTCTTAATTAAATTTATTAAGGCGTATTAAGTAAGGGCTAGAGACTCTTTTCACAAAGAGCCTCATCTAAGGGTTTGATAGATAATACCTCTATGAGTTCATAGAATTAGATACAACACGTTAGTCTACACCAAAGTCAAACTGCGTCTTGTCTAAAAGTTACAAGTAATGACTTTATATTAGTTTTATCAACGTCTTTTCGAAAATCTAGTCTATGAATCTGATAGAATTCTGTAGAGATTGATTTAATATTGATCTAGGACTACAATCACTTGCTCTTAAAAGGGCGAGACGAATGTGTCGCCATACTGAGATATATCCGACGATTGACTAGGTCACCGTACTCTGCCCGATGGAGAACGCAAATGCGATCGTATGTAGCCCGTTCTGTAGTCGACCACGTGGCTACGAGGAGCGTTGGATCCGTGACGACTTCTCCTGCTCCATCTAAGAAAAAAAAACAAGCAAACGTTAATTTTGTCGCAATTAAGGCACCAGAACACCCACTAAGAAACAAATGGCTTAGTGTGAACTCACAGTATTTTGCGGACGTGAGGAGAGTTATTTTCATAAAATTGAAGCACTGTCCAATAGATTGCCCAACAGAATCATATTCAAAATTGCTTTGAACCTAATACATTGTGCAAATACATTTTTAGGAAACTTGAATAGGCTTTTAAAAGTTTTTCTAAACACTGCATTGCAATATGTGCAACACACCGAAGTGCCTTTAAAAATATTAACTTTGCATGTGGTTATTTATTTACATTTTTAATAGCTAGGGGCGTACCGTAGAGTGTAGTAAGTCGAATTTTCATAGTAGTTGTAAGCAATATAGCCCCGATGTCTGTTGATCTTAGTAGCATAATATCTCCTAATACAACAATAAAAACAATTTTCAAAAGCTGGAAGCTAGCTAACTAAGTATTTGAGTTAAAAATTTACATTATAGGGAGAGATTATTGGTTTGAATGTTTCAATTTCAAGACTTCAATATCACATAAAGAATTATTAAGTTCTGAAAGTGATTAATTTAATTGGAGAGTACAAAAGTTATATTGTGGTCAAAGGTAGATACCGTTCCTTTAAAATTTCAGTTATATTTTCAACATTTTTTTAAATAAAATTTGGCGGATAGTGCGCAATTACCATAACATAAGGAATAGAAATACCAATACTAATTCTAAGTGCTAAACTATTTTAAAGATCTGTTATAATTAAAAATAGAACTATTTACATCTTCAAAGCTAGCTAAAACTGAAAACCAACACCCACATAAAAAAACAATTAGTTAACATGCGATTTATACGAAAAATCAGAACATATAATTTTTGGCTCGATTAACTAACAATAAGTAATTCTCCTTTCTCGGTTATAACTCTTTGAACACAAATTTCAGCAGATACACGAATTAATCGTAGCCAAAAACATTAGTTCTGGAAAACTCTGAAGAGAGAATAGTAGATGCTACAAAGAGAGTAAAACAAACACTCACATTATTCACATGTGGCTTTGCCGGCGTGATCGAGAGGGTGTCAAGTACTCAGGGAGGAACGATGGCCTCCTCGACGACAGAAGAACCGACTGGTGTAGTAAGGATGGATACGATTTGGTAAAAGAATTAGGTGGTTTCGTGTTGAAATTTTCGTGTCGTGATTATAAATAAATAGTCCACAGACAAACAACACACCGATGAATTATGTTTGAATTTACCGATTAATTGGTTCAAAACAATAATTTGAAAATTGAACCAATTTATCGAATTTAGTTGGAAAATATACAGGGCGCTTTAAATGGATTTATAATGATTTTTAGGGAACAAATTTAATGTCATTTTTATTTTAAACCTGTCAATATTTTCAAATTTTAAATTGAATTCTTCCCTATGTTAAAATTGTGATTCGATGCTAAAGAAGATCATAAAAATATATAAATCGACCGTATATGTGTTACAGAACCTGAATTCGAAAAAAGTCAACGACAAAGTAAATCGGCTTTCGTTCGAAAAAATTTTGAGCATTTCGATGTTAGGGAAGGTCAAAAACAACATGTCCCCTTCGGGCTTATTGTCGCAGACTCCGCGCAAATCCCTTCCGGACTTCGAAACAGAAGGAACGTCCTTGTTAGGTTGCGCTTGCATGGGCGACAAAACCCCTGGAGCTGTTAGCGGATTCGGTAAGCGTACTACTCTAAAATCTCCGCTATTTAATCGAACGGATTTAATTATCAAGATAGACTCAACAATCCTGCTCTTAACAAGAGCCTAGCTTTCTCCATCAACGAACGCCAACTGCTCGGCATCCACGGTCTCCTGCCGCCCGTCGTCAAAACACAAAACGAGCAAATTAAACACTGCAAACTACGGCTAGACCGCCTAAACGACCCTTTGGACAAATACATTTACTTGATGGACCTATTGGACTTCAACGAGAAATTGTTGTACGCATTCGTCAAAAACCACATCCAAGAAACGATGCCCCTGCTGTACACTCCAACTGTAGGAAGCGCTTGCCAGAAATGGGGATTCATTTACAGGTGAACAAACCACCACTTATTATATTAGGTTAAACAAATTTATATGTAGGAGACCAAGAGGCGTCTATATTACCATGTACGACAAAGGCCACGTTTACGAAGTTTTGAAAAATTGGCCGGAATGCGATGTAAGGGTCATAGTGGTAACAGACGGTGAAAGAATTTTGGGGCTTGGTGATCAAGGAGCTTGCGGTATGGGAATTCCAGTGGGTAAACTAGCTTTGTACACCGCTATAGGTATATTAGCAATTTTTACTCACCACATACGTTGCAATTTAGCGGTTTTCTAGCCGGAATCAAGCCTCATTTTTGTCTACCGATAACTATTGACGTTGGTACTAACAACGAATGCCACATTAAAGATCCTCTGTACCCCGGCATAAAAGAGAAACGTCGCACCGGGAAGGAGTACGATGAACTAATCGACGAATTCATGAAAGGGGTCGTGCAAAGGTGGGGTTCGCATTGCTTGGTGCAGTTCGAAGATTTTGGTAACAAAAACGCATTTAGGTACACCCACAATTAAATCACTAGGTACACCTAAATATTAATTGTTTAATGATAGGTTTTTGGAGAAGTACAGAAACTACTTCTGTATGTTCAACGACGATATACAAGGCACTGCTAGTGTAGTTCTTGCAGGATTAATCGCCGCCATGAGAATAACAAAAAATAAATTAATCGACCACGTTATTTTATTCCAAGGAGCAGGTGAAGCCAATATTGGTATAGCCAATTTATGCGTTTTAGCAATGGTAAGTAAATAAAGAACTAAACTTTATTTCATTTCAAACCATATTTGTTTTATAATAGATGACCGATGAGAACATAACGGAGGAGAAAGCTCGCGAAAAAATTTGGATGGTGGATTCGAAAGGCTTAATAGTGAAAAGCAGGAATGAACTGGAAATTCAGAAAAGACCTTTCGCTAAAGACCATGAGGCGTTAAAGGATTTACTTGATGTAGTAAAGAAAGTGAAACCGACGATTCTCGTGGGAGCAGCGGCGGTTCCTGGTTCTTTTACGCCGGAAATATTGCAGGAAATGGCTCGCAATAACGAGAGGCCCATCGTATTTGCTTTGAGTAATCCAACGTGCAAAGCAGAATGCACCCCACAACAAGCTTATGAAGAAACTAAAGTATAATAATTGACTTTTATTTTATCGTTATTTCCATTGGATTCTTTTAAGGGTAAAGTGATATACGCCAGCGGCAGTCCTTTTCCTCCTGTTACGTATAACAACCAAACTTTTATTACCGGACAAGGCAACAATGCTTACATATTTCCAGCAATTGGGCTAGCTACAATGTGCGCTGGTATACCGAATTTAAGGTAAACCTTGAAGATGTTAAAATATGATCATGTGCTAAGTTAATCGAATTGTTTCAGTGACGATTACTTCTTCATAGCAGCAGAAGCTTTGGCTAATCAAGTGAAAGAGAGTTATTTAGAAGAAGGCTGCATTTACCCGCCTATCGACATGCTTCCGGAGTGTTCCATAAAAGTCGCTTCAACGTAAGTAATTGTTAATGTTTCTCCTACACGAAGAGTTACGAAATTTTTTGTAGGGTGGTGGAATACGCTTACAAAAGAGGATCAGCAACGGTATTACCGGAGCCCAGCGACAAGGAGAAATTCGTTAGGGCGCAATTGTATCGTACAGAGTACGAACCCGCCATTCCCAGTTTCTATGAAGTACCTTTAGGTGACCAAAAAAACATATAAATGAATATCGCTGCTAATCTAAATACAATCAATAGATACTAATCGGAATTTTAAATCATTTGTAATAAAATCGAAAGAACTTAGCAATTAAATTTTTCATTTTTGAAACTATAATAGAGTAAGAGGCAGGTGTGGCATTTTTTAAGACCGTTTGTAATATTTGATTTAACTTTATCACCCTGTATATTTTCAAGACTAAAAAAGATGTGTGTTTTCAACAAACGACAAACTACTTCTAGTGATCTAAAATTTTAATGGTAATACCGGAAAAGTGAAATTTACAGGTATAAAAATTCGAATTCGTGAATAGTGTGAGATGAATAATGAATGCACACAGAAACGTTTCGTGCAATTTTGTAGATATTCGAACATCAAATGAATTGAACGAAAAAGTTAGGACACACACTAAAAGCGGCATTCATGAAGTGTAACAATTTGGTGTTGTGTCGATTTGTAGTTATACCTACGTGGTAAATAAACGGACTGAAAAACTATCCTAAGGGTATCTAAAATGGACTTTTATTTATTGTCGAAATACAAACTCAAAAAAATATATTTTTTTTCTAATAAGAGGATTTAAAATTTCAATAACTACTTACGTAAAATACACGGTGTTCAGAATAAATTGAGGATTATACATATTAATATTTTAGTAAACGCACGATCAATTATTACTTTTTGGACTTTGTCGTTGTTTGTTTGAGCTGAACACCTTTCGAAAATTACATTTTTTTCTGATACTTGTGCGTATATTCTACAGGTTGTCACCCTGTATTTTTTAATATCTTTATAACTAGATAGTATAGATAAAAGGTACGTGCTAAAATTTTAAAAAACAGTTAAAGGCACCCTGAACACCGTGCATTAATATTAATTATAATAATAATAATATTGAACAGTTCAGGTTCTCTATCTTATTTTGTACAGCATCAGTAATATTACGCAGCCTACTACGCATACATACATTAGATCACTTTTTTTCCCCCTATTTGGGGTCGGCATACTATAACAACAAAAGAAAACTATTACTCCGCTAGGCCATACAGGGTCATTCAAAAATATTCCCATCATTATAGATTTAATGCAGGACTTATTGCATTTATCAGCAGAACTTAGAAGAATAGTGCAAATTTGAGTGGTCTGTAAATGTTTTCGAAATGAACAAAAATTTGTTGTAAAACCTCGAGCGTCACCCTATCACCATATTCCATAAATTACTAAATATTCAGGCTGATTAATGTACGTAAAATTAAGTAAATTGAGCACCATTTCGTTTGACCCTGTACGATTCAAAACTAAGTTTCGTTTCAACTATCTTACTATTGAAGATAAACTAAAAATTGAAGTATTCTAAATGCATCGAATGTATTAAATGTAACGAATTGTGTTAATATACAGGATATTTTCAAATATAAAACACTTTTTGAAAGTATAAATATTGAAAATAATCTCATTAAAAATGTTGTTTGAATGTTGGAAACATCCTGTACACGAAGTTGATATTACTTTTACTAATCGTAAAGGATGTAATAAAATTTTCTAAACATATAATATAATTTTTCTTACAATTAGTTCAGTAGTGCAGGTGGTTTTCGAGGAACTAAAATGATTCTGTGTCATCGTGTAGTTGGTGTACATTGTGTTGTGGTGAAAGAACAATTAAGCACAGAAAATAATTACGAAAGACACATTTTGAAGAAAAGAACATCCAATAAGAAAATTAAAAACAGGAAAAACAGGATTACATCGAAAAAAACAATCATGCTCGGTTTTTTGGAAACTTACCTCGCACTGTGGCTCAACATAATGATATTTCTGTAACAAGCGACAATTTCGTTATTAGAAGATAGTCAACAAATATTCTGTAAATTGTAATTAAACTAGCATTTTTTTAATTAGAAAATCTTTTCTGGGTGATATAAGATTAGTAAAAGATAGCATGGTGGTAAATAGAGCGCATGGATCACAAAAAGTGGCATCAATATTGGCATAGGTACAGAGATTTTACAGAAACTTGCCAATTGGCATCAATTAATTAAAGCAAGTTTTGCAAATTGATATTTGATGAAACTTTTTGAGATAAAACTAAAACTCTCAAAAGCATGCTTATATGAAAACTTCTAGCCCAAACTTGCTGTGACTAGCCTTTTTAAATAATAATCAGGTAAACTATTATTTGACATAGCTAAAGAGCAAACCAAAACGGAGAGAAAGCATAGAAAGACAGACCTTCCCATTGAAGATTCGACTCGACCTTCTGCAAAAATTAAAATGAAAAAAACTCGGTTTTTCTTGACAGTTCGCTGAATAAAAGAACTATTGAAAATAAACGAAAAGACTCTTAATTGTAATTATATTCTGAATTTGTTTTTTAATGTATGAGTATAATTGTATCAAATGTAGTAAAAATCGGTGATACATAATCGAAATGAAAATAAATTTGTACCCTGTTTATATGTAAAAAAATGGATTTTTGTATGCTTATTATTTACCATTTTTAAAGACATTTTTATTTGAAAAATATTTCCACTCATATTTAAATTGGAAAATAAAAATGTCACAGTCAATCAAGAATATGACACGATGGGTTCTGTAATCTCCGTAATTTTGGGTAAATTTTATACAACTAAGAAACAACTTAGAATATTGATGCTAGGTTTAGACGGCGCCGGAAAAACGACCATTTTGTACAGAACAAAACTCGGTGAGTTCGCCCAATTAGCCAATAATAATTTTAAACAAACACCTACCTAATTTCGTACTAAATGTAAATTAGGCATTGAAATTTTTGAAGGTATGGTAACTAGAACTATCCCAACAGTTGGATTCAACGTAGAAACAGTCGAGTTTGCTAACGCAAAATTCACAGTCTGGGACGTTGGAGGTCAGGACAAACTCAGAAGACTTTGGAGGCATTATTTTGCCCATACTCAAGGTAATGAAGCGCCGTATTTTATGTCTTTATATCGCTAGGTGTGTAGGTAATTCATTTAGGTAAAGTAAATATCTTTCAGGTGTAATATTCGTAGTGGATTCGTGTGACAGAGATCGAATAGATGAAGCAGCTATCGAACTGAAAAGTCTCACTTACGAACCGGAACTTCAATCGTCCGTTCTGATAGTATTCGCCAACAAGCAGGACGTCCCGCATGCCATGACTATATCGGAATTGACCGAAAAACTGAAACTTGAAGAAATTAAGGACCGAAGGTGGCACATACAGGGCGTTTGCGCTTTAAAAGGCACCGGTATGACCGAGGGTTTCCAATGGCTCTGCGACGAATTACTCAAAACTAAACAAGGATAGGTTCAATTACATATATTTCAATAATTTTATTTATTCTACTTTTATTATTAAATCGTTTATTTTCGTTTATTTGGATGGGTTGTTTAGATAACCAGGCGATTCGTGAGATTGTTGGGGGTGTAATAATTATGCGAGTACTTACCTCAAGAGCCTAGTAATATAATCAGGCCAATTATCTGGGAACATGACTAGAAAGAATCCTACACCTATTAGAATCATTCCCGCTAATTTCATTCCTTCGAAGCTTGCACCATATAGTACCACATCCAGGGCTAGAATAACATATTTAATTAAAAAAGTATACTATTAAATCGACATTAAACATTACCTGCCGAGACAGGGACGGCTGTTATAAGTCCTAACGTTATAAATAAGTCGTAGGTTAGAGCTACACTAAAATTACCCAATAAATTGGCAACTAAAAAAGATAATAAATTAATTGGATTGAGTTAATGTGGGCGAAATTTATACAGTATTGGAAATAAATTCACGCATAATAGTGAAAATCAACGTTAAATTCTTAGCCTTCTAAAGTCTAAATCCAGTATACTAGTGTACATTTCAATAGAAAGTCGCGATAAATTCTAATAAATTTAATTGTTCCACTGGACCGCACTCCGCGCTTTGGTTCGGTTATATTGATTTCCCTATTATGCGTGAATTTATATTCAATACTGTATGTATTTACCTAGAGAAAGAACACTTGATGTTAACAACGCCGGCCAAGGTAGCATGTTCCAATGCAAAGTCTCGATTCCCATTAGAAACAATCCCAAGCACAACGGCCACAAGAAAGCGGCGTTTAGCATCCCAATGAGCGAGAAAAACAGCGCAACCTGACCATAGGTTGCATCTCCTATCACCTTCTTAAACAACACCTTAAAAAAATAAGATTTTTTAAAGAATTATTCCTTGCTTAAGTTCATAAGAACAAGGTAAGAAGATTTACTTTGTATACAGCTGAGCCAGCTGCAGCAGATGTGGCCAGAACGACTCCTCCGAGGGTTGGGCTGCCAGTAATGCCGTCCATGTACGCAAGTAAAGCTACGCCGGTGTCGCAAATTATCACAGCCATTATCTAGAAGAGAATCGTATAAATAATTGGGAAATATAGCTGTTTAAGCGGCAACATGGCCGCCCGCAAACCGACAAACAAGGTTGTAATTAAAGCGGATAGGGGAAAACGCAAGGGCCGGTAGAGGAATGATTCATTTCGCTTCGCATCCCATCCAATTATTTCCGTTTGTATCCGATGCCGTACAAACAAATATTTCTTCTCGGGCGTGACGTTTTTCAAATAGTGCTGACCCAGTTTTTCAAGTAGTTTTCCATTTTCCCTAGGTATTGTAGGGATGGCGTTTCGCCATCTAATAAGGCATTTGAAAACGAAATGCCGAAAGTTTTCGCCGGCGCAAAAGTTGAAGAACTTATCGTAACTTTATGATTACGTTGTAGTGCAGAGTTTGAAATGTTTATAGTGTGTCTACCTAAGTGTTAAGATGAAGTACACCTTTTAAGCAAAGTTAATGATGCATTTTTTCCTTAGTTTAAGACTAAAAACAAGATTATTTGTAAAGGAAATACTTTATTACATTTTTTATTAGCAAAAGCTTTTGATATGCTCTTGCGGCGACAAAAAAGTGAGATTGATTCTCAAACTTCCAAGTTATTTAAATGTGATTTTTTCGTTTTCAGAGAACCTCTACTTAAAAGGGAAACTTAATAAATTCTCTCGAAATGTCGAACTTTCCGCGCTCTCATCAGAAACTTCAGAGTAATTTAATAACCTACTAATCTGGATGAATTGGTTTCCAAAGTTTCGGAAATAACCAAATAGATGTTACCAGAGTTCTGGAGTGACGTGCACATTATATCATGTATCAATGTTTCCTTTCCTACCAAATTCAATATTGAAAATAATGAACAAGTTTGAAAACGATACATAAAAAGAGGGTAATTATAAATAATAAAACCTTAAAAGCAATAATATTTGGATTAAAATCGTCACGAAGATAAATAAAAAATTGAGTATAGAATATTAGCAGAGCATAATGATAGTTCAATTTACTTACTCTGATTCCAACGAACTGCTCATGCAAGATGACCCAGGAGAGTAAGTACACAAAGGAGACATTAGTAGCAAAAAGAGCCATGACGTCAGTCGCAAGAAGGATCCTTAAGGATAGTATGTACATGTAATTAGTCCCCACCCAAAGGATACAAAATAGACTGCATCTCGTCATGAATCTCACTGAAACAGACGGAATACGGCGATGTTTAATTCGTTTAATTCCTTTCCAGTAATTCCTTTTGAGTTAATTACCGGCAGTGAAACCTTTATCCCTGAAGTCCCTAATGCTCTCAGAGAGGATTTCAGATATCGACTGGCATCGCCGGTTGCTCAGGCGGCAGAGGAAATAAAGAGGAAAAAACAGCATTGTCCAGTTGGTCACGAACCAAGTAGTAAAGAACGGGGCCTGGTAAGAAGTCGTCTGGAATTAAATAAACCTATTCAATATAAATGTCTATGGTTTAAGTGGTGGAAATTTTGTGGAGGAATATATTTTGTAAAGTACAAAAAGCGACACTAATTGCCAACGTTTTCACTTTACTTCTTCATTATGCGAAACTGGGTCAAGAAAGTGGTTTCGGGCTGAAGCCAAATAGACTTTTTTCTGTGCCTTTTAGCGTAGATTTTTCAGTGTCGTGTCCTGTTTAAAATTCAATTTGATAAATCCATAGATATCGGCAAAAGTTTTTGTCGTGACGGTGGAAATGTCGCAAGATTTATTCGCTGTTCCGGAAAAAATTTTGTTTCTTTTGAATAATTAAACTATATTACTTATTAATAGAAAGTTTCGAATGGTGCTCATTTTTATTCAGAATATCAAGCGTACCTATGTACCTTAATCTAGTTAGAATGTGCTCATAAATTCGAGGAATATAGGGTGAATAGGTTGGGGTTATTTTGCCAATCTCATCCATCAATAAGGCGATCGATAAGAGGCGGGCTCCACTTGGAACGAAAAAACCAAGAAAGGATATAAGCCGTTAAATTCCGAAAGGGGTAGGTGTATCACAATGAGTCCCGAGGGTATGGAAGTTGTCGGATGAATAGATATATTGCAGATAAAATATCGAGGGAAATGGCAAAAGACTGACATACAAAATAGCATCGTTTATTTTCCGGATAAATCGATTTTCCCGGTTTCATTAAATCGCTTTCAACCCCAATAAAATAGAGTTGTTTATTTCGGAAATTTCACAGTCATATCTTCGGGACCATAATTTAGAGAAAATATTGCGAAGTCCCGAGTCCCGAGTCAACAATACCTTCGAATCGAGAGTAGGTAGCGAAATGGGCCGACGTAATAAGAGAAAAATGGAGGTAATGGAAAAGCATGCAAAATGGATGAGCGAAAGCGGAATAGTGTGTTCGCGATTCTTTTAGTAAATAGGACTTTATTCGTTTGGCTCGGAATTCGCGTTGAATCTTCTAAAGGATAATTGAAAATGTTTTTAAAGAACCTGTAAAAAATCTATATTTTGCTAATTAGAAAATGGACAAAATAGTAGAACCAAAAAAAATACTACATATTTACTTACGTATATGGTTTGCACCAAAGTCATATTGATTCCACTTGTGTCGTGTGGGATCAGCACGGGCTCCGCATCTGTATCTGAATCTTTCGGTCTTTTCAGATACAGATACTTGATGCAATGCGTTGCACCCACCCATGAAGCCGTCACGCACACTGTCACCCATATTCCAAAGTAGATCTGAAGAAAAAACACATTATTTAACAATTCCCCAACAACCAAAGTTCATTTCTATAAACTTTCTTCATTTGTTGTATGAATTATTGATCTACTTTATTAGAGAAAAAGACAATCAAAAAGGTCCAGTAACTATGGTGAGGACCACTCTATTATACAGAAAATCATTTCTAAGAGCAGTTTAAAGCTGAAAAGGTGTTATTACTTAGTAGTAAAATATGCAAATCCGCTACTGCGAATGGCGTTATATTGCAGATCGCCATTCCACGGATCGATTAACTTCCTACTTTGCGGCACGTTGTGCAGAAATGCGTGCTAAGGAGTTCTTTAATTAGCCCCAAAAGGCGACTTTTGATAGCGGAGAAATTGCGTGGGTAAAGCGAACTTCTTATTGGCGCGAAGTTGTAAAATCGCTCGTACGTAACCTTTGGTTCACGATTAGGGTAGAGGGTGGAAACGTCGGAATATAGGTGCCCGTCGTGCAACACTTCCCATAATCACTTCGATCTAATCACGCTACGCGCATAAATTTCTATTTCTTGAGGGCGATTAAGTTGATCAAGACAAACAGAGCTGACGAAACCAAGGTTGTTTGTGTTTATAGTAAATTGTTAGGAAAAATGGTTTACATTACCTATAAATATTCTACTTTTGTAGAAAAATCGATTTATTACAAACTATCGGATTTTTAATAATTTGGGTCTTATCCAAGGAATAATTTAGGAGACTTTTTGTTCCAGAGAATTTACGTGAAATTTGGTCTACAATACTAGTTCTTTGAATAATTCATTGTATATCTTCACTGTTGTAGCAGAAATATGTAAGGGGTATATAACGGGTAACATCCAAATTCCTTATTGTATAAATGTATTGTGTTATATTTATTTATTTATTATTGTGTGCTCTTTTCTCCTCTGTATACATAATGTAGATACTACATAGGTAAATACTTGCCAATATTCTTGATACTTTGTAATTTGATAAACTATGCCTGAAAATTTATATTTCCTGTAAGTAAACTATACATTCAAGTAGAAGTGCGTGCATTCCTGAATAAGGTTTTTAACTAGTTTAATGGCTCATAAAAATGTTATATCACCTAAGTCGGGTTATACAGATAACTAGGAACCCAACTTTCTATCAATTTTATTTATATTTTTTCTTAATTTGTTTCGGGAATTTAAATATCAATTAAGTACATGTAAAAATCCTATTTCCCTTTTCAATAAAATAGTTCAATTTAACGAAGCTCAATGATATATTGATAATTTCAGAATTGTATGTAATAAAATAATATCGTACCATTAACCTTCGATTTCCCATGAAGGTTATTGTACACCGAAACGTAGTTTATTTTAATGCTTCCAGGGTTGTTTAATGTTTTGATGCCCTTGAAAACGTGGGCGGTCATTCCTTCATTATTCATTACTCGAACGTCACCATTAATAATTGAACCAAATAAGTGAAGAATGAAAGGTGAAGGACTAGGATATCATGGTTTACGGTCACCCATAGGTAGAGGTTAAAAGTTAAAGGTGATCAGTAAAACAAGCCGTATATTCTGGGTTACCTTTCGAGCTGATTTTGAGCAAAACGACGTGGAGCACGACTTGAGTTTCCCGGTGAAACCGCACGGAGGAGCCGGCGAGAGCGGTTCAGCCGCTTCCTGCTGGCTGCTCACCGAATCGGCGTTGGCGAACGGTCCATTCGCCACTCCTTCCTCTGTAACTACCACGCTGGGCGCTCTGTTTCGACCCCGAGGATTGAAGATGGTCGGGATGTCCCCGTCGCGGGTCATATCGTGCAGCTAGAACATCTCTGAAATTTAGGTCGGTGGTAGAGAGTTGCGAGAGATATCTGAAACGAATGGATATTCTGTAAATTGATGTAGTTATTAATGCTTGATGAATCCAATTAAGAGCTACATAAATTTTAATGAACGAGTTCGTAACAAAATGTTCAAGCGTGGAACGTGGAAAAAATGGATGGCGTTGAGTGGTAGAGCAAAAAGTAAAATCCCGAAGCTTCATGATTGACCTATATTGGTATTGCGCCGGAGACGGAGAATCAATTTGTGCACTTTGTAAAGGGCTTTACTTTATCAAATCCGTTGGCTTTTATTACTCATTTCGTACACGTCGAGTTCTTTATCATGCTGCTATTTTTAAATACAGTGAAATCCCTTCATTCAGTTGCAATGCAATTAATTAACAAATGCGTAGGTATTAGAAAAATGAATACTAATTGAAAAGCGCACTTCCTATATATGTAACTATGAAACTTATTTCGTCCCATTTTCATCCAAGCAGTTAGGTTTATACATATATCGATTGAATTCCATTTGGAATTCAGTGGTTACAGCATGTGATGCAAAACCCATTGCAATTATAATTTCATGACACAATCCGATTAAAGTTATTAACGAAATGACTGTTTTATCACATTTGGTTCGCATGTTCGTTGTTGAGTAGTGTTCACAATGCATTCGAAATGTGCCTCGTGGGGTATTAAAAAATCATTAGGCGGTAATAAAAATTAATTAATTGATAATGGGGAAAATCAAGATTCCATAAAGCAAATAATTTTAGACCTATAGCATATGAGAGAGTAAATTTTTTTAATGAATTTTAAAAACGTTTTGTTAAGTAAGTATAATTAGGTAACGCTTATAAAAATATTGGAATTTTTTATGGTGTGTTTTAGCTCGTGTAAAACACGAGCAATTAACTCTGATTAAAAATTACGACGTTGAACTCACAAGCCGAACAATTGGAGCAACAGTGAAAAATTGAGAAATGAAGTACCTACATTATCTAACGAAACGTGACGGTTTACAATCGGTGAAATTGTTTCATCTTGAATATTCCCAAAACACAAGAGTCGTATATCAGGAGTTTCTAGATATTGAGTCTGGAAAAATCGCTATAGCTAGATACACGATTTTGTATATGCCAGAGAGAACCAGAGAATTTCATATTCAATTTTTCACAAGAATAAGAAATGTGGCAGTTGAAAGAAGTTATGTGGTATTGTTTCGACTTCATTAAAAAGTTATGACAATTTCGATTGTTCTTATAAGAATATTCGGCGCCAGATGTATTTGACTTACTTTTTATTACCCTAAAAACCCTGGTGATGACAGTAAAAATGTTTTTCTATCAATACAATAAAAACTTGTGGAAAAAAACAACGATAAAATCTGACAAATAAAAAAATTACTGCTTTGTCTATGAGGTTGACATCCAAGAATCGATATGAACAATCGTAAAAGCGACGGCCCATCGTGAAAACTGTTTTCGTAATTTTTTCCGGAGATTCCAACACGAAATGGGCTGGAAATTAGCTGTCTAGAGCTTTGCGAATCTAATTTACCACGAAAAATACAGAAGTCATGACAATAAAAATAACTACAAAGCACGTTCTTCTGGTTGTATGCGCCGAATATAAAAATCCCTTTGATCTATCTACAAATAAAGAATCACTATAAAATGTCGAGGTAAATCGATTAACTCATGTAAAATTAACATCCCCGAACCTTGAACTAAACCTAACGAAAGGCTGTCTTTCTACTATCAATAAGTCTTAATCAATTTTCTATTATAGTTTGTTTTTAAAATTAGAAACTTTTTACTAGATTATTTTTTAAAAATCATGTACATTTTTAAGCTTTGTGGAAAGGAGACTAATGATAGAGAAGCTATGTTAATTAATGTTTGAATTATCAAATGTAAAAAATATAAATTTTCTCAGACGTTAGTAATTCCAGAAAACTTCATTAAATAAATATTCGCTATTATTATAATACTATTAAATTTATTTTTGTCTCTAAAGCTTGCCGAATTTTGAATTTAAGCACGTTCTTAAAAAGTTGTAAATTTTTTAATGGTTCCTATCTTCATTTTATACTCCATTTTCTGTAGTTATTTTAAGATTTCTTCGACTACTCCAAGCTTTTGGTAGATTCAAAAAAATCTAGGCATTTTCACTAAAACTTTTAAAAATAAACCAATACATCGCTGTTAAAAATAAATTTCTTAATTTTCAATTCCATGATATTGCATACCATTCATTTTAATGTTATAAAATATTTGATTGACCGAATTTATAAATACCGATTAAATTGACTTCAATTCCAATAAATATTTATGCAATATATTAAAAATAAATTAATTATAGGAAGGGTTTAAATTTCATATAATTTACACAACTATTTTTATAGCAATTTTAATATATTAAATTAAATGCAACCATAAAACAACAAATTTTTCAATCAAAACAACTAAAAGCACCCATTTTCGATAAACATGAATGAAACTAATCATCATCTACATCGTACGAGGTTACACAATTTACATCTAGATAAACACGAATCCCCAACGAGCTATCATTCATAAAATTTCGTGCACCCCAGAAACAGTCAACTCACCCAATCAGTCAGTTTTTCCAATCCATCTAGTCGATAGTGGAAAAACGAAGCGTCGTCGACCTGGCAAATGCAGACCCTCGGCGGTGAACGTGAAGAGAAAAGTTGCGAGAAGACAGAAAAGACAGGCTCGCGAGCAGCCGAGTTTCCCAAAGCCGAGACGCCCGATTGAGCGAGTCGTCGGAAATGAAAACTGCTGGAAAACTGGAAAACTGGCGGTTGCTCCGTCCCGACGACCGGGTGGGGGTAGTTAATAGGTGTGGCGACGCGGCGGCGTGTTCGTGTTGATTCTGGATATTCGACGGGGAGAATATATCGGATGATCTATGAATGCCATTGTCGAAATTCAATTGTGTTAGAAGCCTGTAAGAAGTCGTTACAGTCGAAATGAATCCGGATTTTAGCATTTTTCGGTGTTCCTTCCGCACAGGTTTTTATCGGATTATTGATTGCGCAGAATCGTGAGGAACTGATGATACCAATTACCTCATTAGAGCAAGGAAAGGCATGAAAATAGATTTGTATGAAATTATGGAAGAGAAAGAGAAAACAAAAGGTAGTGCATCTACAGGGTGCATATATTTATCTATGGCACACTTTGAAAGATAGTTTTGTGAAATAACTATTTCTTCTGAGGTGAATGTATTTTTTTAAATAAGATGTTCCTATATCATTCGATATTCTGGACTTCTTGATGAGCGAAGATTCTAATATAAACATCACCTTTTTCGGTGACAGTCTAGTATGTAATCTACCATAATATTTGCGGCCTACCTACGTATTTTGTGGCCAAAAGCATACATATTTAAATACTTTGACAGTTGTCATATTTTGCAAAACTGAAACGGATGGTTGTGAAACATGTCTCACAAAACTGCAAATATTTGTCCATTTAAATTTTTTTATCTCCTACAGTTTCCGAGATACCTGATGTACTAAATATCGAAAACAATTCACCCTGTACAATTCTGATACTTAATTGACACTTTTTATAGTACGTTCAGAATTATATAATTCATATATCAATAAGCCCGGAGGTTAAAACTAAATTGGTGGGTTACGCGACAAAAGCTTTTACCATTCAAAAGTTAAAGGGGAGGCGACGGACTTTTGATCCTCACTGTATACATAATAGCAGATAATAATAATTAGATAATATCAAATATGTCTAATAATAGCAAAATCTTTTCGTTTGCTTAATAAAAGATTGTTAATTATAATTAATAACGTTTAAATAAATATCGGTACTTCCTAAATTCTCGGTAAATAGAATTATCCACATGCTGTTCTATAAATAATACAATACCCGTAAAAATTTTTCTTTTGCTTTGAAGGGCCAATTTTCAAAATCTTGCTGTTATACTTCGTAATAAATACTTTGTATAAAATAAATTTGGGTAGACCGCATACTAGACCGGCGCCCATTTTCCCCTGAAACTGTCCTTTTTAAAGGCTTTGACCCGTATTCAGCGCATCTGTTTAACTTTAGCGTGACTCTAAAGTCGCGTCTTGAGTCCCTAGTTACTCCATAACAACAATGTAAATCTGTCAAGTTAAACACGCGACTTTAGAGTCACTCTAAAGTGAAACAGAGGCGCTGAATACGGGCCTTTATCTATAAGTAAATCAATAAATAAGAGTATATTTATGTTCTAATTTAGGAACCAATTTAACAATGTTTTTTATTACAAATTATGCAAACGCAATTAATCCTCAAAAGTAAATTCAAATTATTGAAATAACTGTGCCAATCCAAGAAAACATTAAACACTATTGGGCAAATACGGTCCTGCTCTTTACACATCAATTGATCCAAAACCGTAGAGGTGGGCTTTTTCGATGGATACTTTCGACTCACTTCCTTTACCATATTGTGAGTTATTTGTAAGATATTTCGTATAAAAATCACTTATGCACGATCATTTAGTAGTAATATTACATAAATCCACACTTTCATTGAAATTTAATCATTACAATTTCAATAAAATATTTATGGAACACTCCAAAATAACATTATGCGGATAAGCACGTTCCCATCTCTAACAGTCAACAAAACACGAGGTGTGCACATGCGCACTGGTAAACGTCACATCAATCAACAAAACGAAATGTCATACGTGTTTCAGGTGCAAGTACAGGTGGTTGTGAGGTGTTTTGCGCTAGCATTTTTCTTTTGAAAACTAATAACTCAATTACAACAGTCACTGTATGAAGTTAGGAATACCGGTAAGTCGACATGACATAATAATAGAGATGCGGTAGTAACCGTTGAGTTTTTGGTTAACAAAGGATCGAAACAAACCGGTGTTAAAGTTCCCTTAAAGTTGTAGGAACTGATGTTTCACCTGATTAATGATAACACTATCGCTAAGTATTTAAATCCACGTATTTCGTAAGCCGTGCAATAATTAGAAATTCTCGATTTTCTCCGTATAATAGAAAAGCGTTGTTTCGCAACGATTATTCAAGTAATTGTATTACGGTTAATAATTACACCGAAAAAAAAGGATACAGGTAATTCTTTGTAACGCCGTATTTTAACATTAAACCGTAATTTTTTCATGCTAGCTATAAATTTATTTAGTTTTAGTAAGTATTCAGTTAAAAACTTTATTGTTTTATTTTTTGTAACGTCGCTATTGCCAATAAAACAATCTCAAATACCTATTGGATTTAATAAATTCAATTATCTAGTCAGATTTATTTTAATTTCTGTGCTTATGTTGTTTAATTTATGTTTTTTAATTATTTTTAACATTATAATTAAGTTTTCTCGTTTTTTTCTCATCAATAACTGCAACTAAAATTTAACAATTTATTCTAAACATTTGTCATGAATAAACATTACAAAACAACAATAAAAAGGTATTTTCTATAGTTGAATATCTCGATATTCTCGCATATTTTAATTACCTACTTCATTATCCTAATTAATTTTTTACTAATATGCCCTTGCAGATATTCGATTCTATGATTGCAATTATTGCTTTTCAATGCCATCATAACTGAAATTTAAAATAGTACAATTAAAAGTGGGTGTAACGCTCTACAAAATAGGACGAGAGACATTTGAATAAATTTTGAAAGATTCATCTGTTCGTTCATTAAAAAAACAAATAAATACATTCTATTCTACTAGAAAAATTATAATTAATATTTTAATTAAAGTTTAACTTCGTATTAATTCATAGGGTGAAAATTTACTTTAAAAATCCAGTAAAGAACCCCCTCGTAGAGGAGAAGTGTTAATTTATTTGCATACAACAATTGAACATAATTTACAACTGGATATTAATCGAATCACTCTAGCTAAAACAGAATATTATCAGTGAAACATATGGTTCACAAACATAAAACATGCGGGAAAAGAATGAATTAAACATCTGTTTCGAATTATATCAGATTTTTATCTTATTGCTATAACATGAAGATGGAATACGTCTGCTGGAAAGTACAGCTAGAAAGTTGCAGTTATACAAATTTATAAATAATTTCATATCTGCATCAACTGGGGTGCATCTGGTCGTTATTTTTGTTTTGTTTTCTCTTGCGTTTGAAGTTGTAATAAATTTCTCGGTTTCCTATGACATAATACCTCTTTTTTGTTTCTTCATTTCACAGAAAATAGTTTTATTCGCACGAGTAATTATTAATTGATATCGGAACTACTCGAAAAAGATTCAAATAAACGAAAGAAAGTCGTTAAATTGTATGTAAATGTCTGAGAAAAGCGAGAAATTGAAATTTCGACCGGCTTAATTATTAATTATCTAATGTAGAACAATATTGTTACTGCGATGGGAACTTTCTATTTTAGACTAGATGCGAAATTTCCTAGAAAAAATAAATCGGTTAATGTACGCTGTTCCGATCCTTTTCTGATGTGGTACCGATCGTAGTTTATTGTACATGTTTACCGCTAGCCTATGTGATCTCGTCAGACAGACCTTTTGGTTAATATGCCTTTTGAACGGAAATATACATACAAGGTGTGATATAAAAATTCATTTACGACTCTTTCAACTCTAATACTCGCTATTGCAATATCGAAATATAACTGTTTCTATTATTTAATCTGGCAATTGTTGATACTTATTCGATATATAACAATTGGGCGAACAAAAACCCCATAAAAACGTATTTGCAGCCTTTGTGTTTAGTAGTGTAATGTACCGTAAGCACCTATTCTAAAATGCCATTAATATTTGCAGTTCCAATAATGTTTTGTTAAGTTAGTTACATCTACAGAGGTAATATTTTCGTGCACCTCGTAACGTTCCTGATACTACATCACCATCACGTTTTCACGACCAAGACAGGATGCTATTGACATTGATTGCCGACTCTTTGATAGCGAACAGATGTTACTGAACACTTTTGTGCCATAAAGTCCATAATAATAAGAGAGGGTGTTTTATCGCTTCGTTTGCTTAAATTCGTTCGTTAAATTATAATAAATAAAATCGATTGCTCACTAAAATTCTATTTTTTGCTTGATAAAAATAGTATCTATCGATTTAGTGTAATCTTATTTGATACCATCAATACTGGGTATTGATGTAGCAAAAACATTTTAAATTTTATCTAATTGAATGGTTGATGTTTATTAACTTTCCTAAGTTAAGTAAATACTTAATAGTTAAGTCTATTTTAAGGGTTGTAATTATATAAAAATCATTCAGGAAGACCTAGCACAAGGTAATCCTATGGTAACTAATATAAGTACCTATGAAACAAAGAATGGAATACGGATGAACCTGAATTCATTAAATACAGTTATCTATTCTTTTAAACTCTTGAGTACTTTTATTTTTATCGTTTTTCCACCTAGATTGTTTGCCTTTTCGGTGCCATTATATTTTGGAACGATGTGAATACATTAAAAAAACGCAATGCTTACAATTAGTAATAAAGTACATACTCAACTTCGACTGTATGCATTAATTTATAATCGTTGTTGTTACAACAGTAAACGGTTGGATCAAATGATGAAGATGTAGTGGGAGAAATTGTGTTAATTCGCCCACTTACGTAACCATAACTGGCGTATCTACCTATACACATACTAGTTATGGCATGCTGGCATTTCCTTAATCTAATTCGATGAACTTGACTTTTAGTTTCAATGCCAACGGAAATTATGGGAAATTTGTGTCGAACAAAAGGAAATTTTTTTATTGCCTAATTTATACATATACTGTTTATTTTATTTATCACACATTTTCATTCACAAATTTATTTTTTTCGGTGTTCCAGACAGAACTTAATTCAACATGAAAACACGTCCAAAAATATTGTAATATAGTTGCTCAAAATTGTTCACGTTTCACAGAATTTGTAGCAATTAATCGAAATTTTCATCAAGTGCTCGTTGCGTTTATTAATCTCCCTAATTACTCATTTCACAACTATCGCGGCTAATATACAGTTAGTATGGACAATTAATGCTGGGTTACTAACTCCTTCCAAGTGAATACTTATTGGCAAATATTCGATGTACATGAAACAAGTCTTGCTCGTTTAAAGAGAAGATAATTATCCGGAGTTCCGACTGGTTTGTGTTATTTATTGCACGCGAGTAAGTACGTATTAGCGGCTGCGAAACATCCGGTATAATACATATTATAGCCAATATTGCCGGAACTACACCTCTATCTCCCAGCTTTAGACAATCGAGTGGGTGGTTTATAAAAAAAAAAGTTCAACGTTCCGCTCTGTAGTAATCAAAATTAGATTTTTATGGTTATTTGCTTACTAAATATTAAGCAAACTATAATTAATAACAAAGCAGAAAATTTAAGAACTTCGGCGCATTCATACATTTAATCTGTACCTGCTAGTAAGGAAAAATGTAAAATTCTGCCTAACTTTGGTAATAATCACAAATGGGTGGTGTTGCTAGTAAGAAAAAATGCCGGAAACAAGGAAGTAATTACTTTGTAATTGCTTATTTTATTTACAGTTTTCTTAGTAGATGAGAATATTGCATGCAGTATTTCCAAGAACGACTATAAACTATAAAAGAAAATTAGTTGTAAATTACAGTGAACACAAAAAAACATGAATGCTTTTCGCGTTTGTTTTATAAAGATTAACTAAAAACTTTTATAATTCAAACCTCCAAATATCTGAAATATTAAAAATTGCTAAAATATTACATTTCGCATTGTTTGCTTTGGTTCTACAATGATAACATTATTTCCAAAATCAGTACAAGTTTTATTCATTTCTATAAATAAATCTTAAGCCACAGGTGACATTGAATCGTTCAATTTGTTGTATAATACTCGTATAAGCTTTGTAATTGTTAATCTGTTCAAACAAGATCAGATGAACGATGAACAAAATTCATTAATCAATTATATTTTAAAATAAAAATGGGCGATAAGAGCCTTTGATAGATAAGATAAGGTTTTATAGAAACAATATCAGTGTAGACTGTCACATTTTTTTACCACCTTTATTACCGTTTTCAAAACCTAAGCTAGTTCAACATTTTTGTTTCGGTACGAAATTTTGTATCCACATTTAACAGTGCACTAATTGAAGTTAATATGATTAAATAGTGAATTTATAAAAATCAAATCTTTTTAGGTGTGAAACATGGATGAACTGGTTTGGGCTCGTCACCCATCAGACGGGTATATTTTGGCCAAGATAGTGGAACTGACCGATGATGGAGCTGAAGTTATTCCTCTCAATTCGAAGTATCAAAGATCAACCTTGCCATTTAACGATATATTCAAAGCCAATGGAGATGAAAAAGATTACGACGATAATTGTAAGTATTTTTTTATGTTCATTTAAAACTTTAAGAGACATTTATCTTTAAAGTAATTGATAATTTAATAGGAATATATTGTGATAACACAAGTTAAAATTATTATTTATTTATTTATTTTAATGTTGTTTGGTATAATTCCCAGTTTCTTCTTTTAAGGTGAAATGATGTACCTAAATGAAGGAACATTACTCAACAACGTCCGCGTCCGCTACTACAAAGACAAAATATATGTAAGTTTATCTATTAATTGACTAAATAACATCCTTCAACACGTCGGAATTCCAGTCGTACGTTGCCAACATCCTCATAGCCGTCAACCCGTACAAAGACATTCCGAGCCTCTACGCTCCCCAAACCATAAAAGACTACAAAGGCAAATCGCTGGGCCAGAAGCCCCCGCACGTGTTCGCCATAGCGGACAAGGCCTATCGGGACATGCTGGTGCTGAAGCAGTCCCAATCGATAATAGTCAGCGGCGAATCCGGAGCCGGCAAAACCGAATCGACCAAGCACTTACTGAAGTACCTCTGCGACAATTGGGGCGCGGAAGTGGGCACGCTGGAGAAGAAAATCCTCGACGCCAATCCGGTGCTCGAGGCGTTCGGCAACGCCAAAACCTCCAGGAACAACAACAGCTCGAGGTTCGGCAAATTCATCGAAGTCCACTTCGATAAAAAATTCAAAGTGGCCGGCGGCCACATATCCCACTATCTGCTGGAAAAGTCCAGGATTTGCTCGGTGGAGGACGAAGAACGTAATTACCACATCTTTTACATGCTCCTCGCCGGTGCGCCCGAGTCGTTAAGAAGCCAACTCTATCTTACGCAGCCCGATGATTTTAATTACCTCAAAGGCGGTTGTACCAACTATTTCACGAGCCCCGCTACTGCCAAGGGACTGGATGATAGCAGGAAAAGCGCTGCGTATAAAAAACAGGGTCCTCTCAAGGATATATTGCTGGACGACGTGGCGGGTTTTATTGAATTGGATCAAGCTTTAGCCAGATTGGAATTGAATGAAAGCGAGAGGAATCAAATTTACGCTACAGTAGCTGCCGTGCTTCATCTAGGAAATGTCGAATTCGAAGATAATCCTGAAGATACCAGAGGTGGTTGCAGAGTTATTGGTAAATATTACTTAAAATAATTTCAAGATGCTTGTTAAATCCACTTGTAATTTTCAGGAAGCAAAGAAAAATACCTTCTACTGGCTTCGAAGCTGCTGGAAATCGATCCTAGTGAACTTAAGCAGGCTTTAATTTCACGAGTGATGCAGAGCGCTCGAGGTGGAATGAAGGGTACCGTCATAATGGTACCTTTAAAAACTTACGAAGCGACTAATGCTAGAGACGCTTTGGCCAAAGCTATTTACAGCAATATGTTCGATTACATTGTCAATAGAATCAATCAAAGCATTCCGTTTCAAACGTCCAGTTACTACATTGGTGTGCTGGATATTGCTGGATTTGGTTAGTTATTTTTAAGATAATGGAGTTATTGCAATCTTTCTTAAGCCAAATAAATCATCTGTTATTATTTTCTAAATAATAACAATAATGCATATTTTCAGAATTCTTCACTGTAAACAGTTTTGAGCAGTTCTGCATTAACTATTGCAACGAAAAATTGCAGCAGTTCTTCAACGATATGATTTTGAAGTATGAGCAAGAATTGTACAAAAAAGAAGGTCTTAGCGTACCTGAGATAAACTACACTGATAATCAGGATTGTATCGGTAAGTAGTCGATTTTATTTAATTGTCGATTTTGCATAATAATTTATTTATATCATTTTAGATCTAATTGAAACGAAGAAGGGTATTTTGAACCTCCTCGATGAGGAATCCAAATTACCGAAGCCGAGTTACACCCACTTTACAGAAGAAGTCCACAAAACATGGCCGAAGGAATTTCGACTGGGTTTACCCAGATCTTCTAAGTTAAAGGCACACAGGAGTCTGAGAGACAGCGAAGGGTTCTTGATCAGGCATTTCGCTGGAGCAGTGTGCTATCAAACGGTACTTACTTAATAATATACAGGGTGTGTCACGACAAGATTAAACTATCTGTATATGGGAAAGTACTTATCCGATTTAAATAAAATTTCACCCTGTATTCATCACTCTGTATATTGATATATTTTTGAAATCTACGAAAAAATTTAGGGTACTTTAGTCTAAATTACTTTTCCCAAAAATGCATACTTTTTGAGTTATTCATTTACTTTTGTATAAATGCATTTTGGAAAAAATGTTTCAGACAAAAGTAGGTACCCTGAAATTTTACATAATTTTTAAAAATACATCAATATACACTGCGTTTCATTTAAAGTAACAAACAATTGTAACAAACAAGTATAACAAAATATTTTAAGAGGTTTTTAATCTATGTATACCAAATTTAATTCGGATAAGTAGTTTCCTTGTATACAGATAGTTTAAGCTTGTCGTGACA